TAATCTCTTTAAGAAGCAACTTCACCAAGACATGAGCTAACGGTCCTACTTAGTGGCTCCAAATATTAAATTGATTTAGTCTGCTAGACAGTTTAATGGTTTACATCATTACATTGCTGGATTAATTAAGCAAAGCTCCTCAATGACAGCTGAAGGTACAAATCCTGCCTCTGGCTCCGACCATCTGTGCTGAGTTCCTGTGGAGTTTACATCAGTTCTTTCTGCACAGTGCTGTGAGGCAGCGCTCTGCATCTTTCAAACTCCAGTGTTAGTCATAGAGATAGAGATATCAGGCCAGAACCAGGAGCAAACGGGAAGCTTTAGCTAGGCATTAAAGATAAAATACTGAGAGCAGGTGAGTGTGTAATGCTGGGACACCTGAACTTTATCATCTGCAGGTATTAGGAGTTATTTATAAGCTTCTTCTGGTAACTTTCATGGTGTTCATTGCAATTGATTTTATTTTCATGTTACAAAATGTATGTAACATTTCCAGATAAAAATGTCTATAAACACATTTTTATCATACATTTTTTAAATCTTGGTCATTGTTAACTACTTATTTTAACCAGATGAAGGATTTTAGTCACCAGACAGCTTTAGTTATCAGAGAACAGCGTCAGAGAAACACAGATTTTTAAGGTGAAGCTGCTTTATTCAGTGTTTTAATCACCGGGTCTGTTTGTTTTGGAGAGGAGGAGACATCTGCAGATAATTTGGCTCCTGAACAATAAACACTGAAGGAACCCTAGCTGGGAGAACCTGGCGGCAGTTAGGGTGAAGAAAACAACTCCCCCAATCCAACGCTGGTTCACGTCGTCATCAAACTTCCTTTTGTTATTGTTTTGATGTGAGAGACCCCCTAATGGCAGAAATTACATACTGAACCTTTAATTTCATTACAAAATGACAGGTTATTTTACAACTCAGTCTTCCAAATCAGCATAAATCAGCACATCCCCTATGTCATCCTAGGAAGGACAGCAAAACCAAAAATGTACCTCATTCTCAATTTCGCCAAACTCACACGACAAACATAGTCTGTCTTCCTCTGGAGGAGCATTCAACCTGCCAGTGTCTGTGGCTAATGGTAACCGTCCTGTAACTGATAGGATAGGATATACTTTTAATGTCCCTGTAGGGACATTTGTTTTGGACTCCTGAAGCTCTACAGCATAAAAGAACAAACATCAACATCTTAGCAACACACAGCTTCCATGTAACAGTTTGCACATACAAATACACACATTCTGGCAATGGCGACATATTGCACAATCCCCATGACCAACATCTGGCGAATCCTCAATCTTCTAGCAGAGGATAAGAGCTGGAACCCTGCATGGATCAGACGGTATTCTCTGTGCCTGTCTGATAATACACTGCTCACAGATTGTTTGGTGGGATGTGTTTTTTTTAACCCCTATAATTTTCATAGCAGTGTGTACCAGACGAGCTGTACAGACAAGTGAACTGTACCAGGCTGTTATCCCATATCTTATAATGCTGTCCAAGACAGCATGGTAAAAGGGAAAGTGTGCGTAAAAAATACATCCACTGTAGCAAACTGGAGCAGAGACTCAATATAGGCCCTCCAGGTGAGTGTGTTACCAATGTGGCCCCGAGGCACTTAAGAGCAAACCTGAGGGATGGATTTGCTGTGTATAACCACCGGCGTCTTCAGTCTGTTACAGATCTGTAAACTGGTGAACAGCTGTCTCTGTGCATTAGTCCCAGACTGGCTGTATCATCTGAGAACCAGGGTGGATTCTCGTGCACTCATTTGTGTATAGGCTGAGAGGACCAGGGAGCTGACACAAACCTAAGGGCACCAGTGCTGATTTGTCTGGGCTCTGAGAGGCCACTGTTGACTCTAACCTGCGGGTATGATTAGTTAAAAAAGAAAACATCCAACAGCAATCTCTGCACACTGGGATCTTTGTCATTAGTTGAATCTATACTGTAGCTATTCTAGCCCCTCCATACTATATATCAACCGACCATCAGACCATTGTGCTTCTAACAGATCGGAATATCACAAAGTAAAGTGTTCTGGAAAATAAATTACAAAGTGTTCAAATAAAAAAAGGATTTCAACTCATTAGCCCAGGGATGACCTCGTGAAATGTCCTATAAATAAATAAATATCATTTTAGTGAAGTGGAAATGTAGCAGCTAATGAACCAACAAGGAATACATCAGACTCAAACTGAAAAGACTTCATTTGAAAATGTAATATTATCTCAGTGGGGGAAATTGGTCACATTTCTATTAGCTTTGTCTACTGTTGAATTATAATATAAATCTGAAGTAATGGACTGGATTATTACTTCATTTTAACCACCATGAATGTGATTAGAAGAGGTGGTACTGGTGCATCCCCTGTTAGCAGTGAAAGTTACAATATTTGTCCGTTTGGTTAATAGGAAGGAAACAATTACAAAAAGTTTCTAATGGTGAGAACAAATTGCCGCAGAGCCAGAATATAACTGACCCTGAACCTTCCTCCTTATCGGACAGCCACTGATGTCTTCCAACATAACTCTGTCGACCTATAACGAGACTCTACTCCACATCAACACCGTGATGCTTCCCGAGGGAACCTTTTCCAAGGTCAGAGTACACAGTAGCACATGGAAGTAATAGAAGTAGCCAATTAGACCTATGAATATGACCATATCTTCTCTCCGGATGCTCATGCACTTTATGGCCCTCCAGGTTCTCTGTCCACATCGATTTTCGTACAATTACTGAATTCTAGTTCCCGCTGACTGTGATATTGCCACTGCGTTGTCTCAGCATTGAGAGGTTGCCAATATATTACTGCAGCTGCTAACTGAGCCAAACTGTTTGACCACAAACACTTTCATTTACAGAAGTGTTGCAGGGAAGCGTACTGCAGTGGAGCAATGATTTTAAAGATTTTTGTTGATTAACATTCCCGCTGGTCCAAGGAAAATAACGTTGTTTGAACCCAACAATTATAACAAAACTTCACAACATCGGACAGCCATGAAACAGGTGACAAGGACATTGAAACAGCCAAATCCACTAAATCCATGGTTTCCTTTAACTAAAAAAAAACACCACACACACACACACACACACACACACACACACACACACACACACACACACACACACACACACACACACACACACACACACACACACACAGTCTTAACTCTCTCTCAGTTCCCTCCTTTCTTCCAATCCATCCATCCATCCACGACCCTGATTCCTCCCCTCATCCCCTCATCCCTCCTACAGCACATAAACTTGATTCACCTTCACCCATAATATGCAATAAACCTTTCTAGTTCCGTATCCTTATTGTCGTGGTTGTTCGTGAACTTGCACTGATTCATGGACACTGCTGTGACTCCTTGTAGCCATAGTTACAGAATATTTGTGTCGGAATTACAGGCTCCATACCTTGTAGTTTTAATTACGATATGCTAAAGGGCAGCACACACCGGCATGTCAGTACACCCATGTCTGTTTTCTACTCCACACTGGCCGCACCAGGATGAACACCGGTCCCCCTGCAGTGTTATCACATTGGTTCGCTGAATTGGCCCGTTACAGCTACCGTACCTTGAATACTTCCCTGTCTTTAAATGTCCACTGTGTACTTTTATGCATGAATTTATGAGATACACAATTACTTGTTTAATTTTGATGAATTTGTATTGAAGCTCACACTGGTCTGCACCTGTGTGTGTGTGTGTGTGTGTGTGTGTGTGTGTGTGTGTGTGTGTGTGTTTGTGTGTGACTTTTCCAAATTAGCTTCAGTCAGCATGTTTTTATTTTGAAGATACCGTTTCCATCTTGACTGCGTGGCTCAGTGACCTTGTGAACAGAGGATACAGGGAGGGGAAAATGACAGGTATGGATTTTACTGGATGAATTATAGATTAATCCCAGAATGCAAATGTCCTGGGAAACTACTGTGTGTTTGTGTGTGTGTGTGTGTGTTCCTGATCTGAAATCCTTGGCAGATTGATGCCTGTGCGACCTGCCGGCCATTTCTTTGTTGTTAGTCATGAGCTCAGTGGAGCACTTCACTCTCAGTCTGTCACCCTGGGACACACACACACACACACACACACACACACACACACACACACACACACACACACACACACACACACACTCTATCTCTCTCTCTCTGCGACATCCACCCACAGTAACCATTACAATTCCATACATTTAAATGCTCCAGCTCATGTATAATTCATATCAATATCTTTATCATTTACACAATCCATATCAAACCCCCTACCTCTTATGTAGGGGCTATAACTTCCATCTCATGAGTTGTTATTATATAATCTATAGCTGGGTTTTTGTGAAATCTATCATCAGCATGCAGCGTTTCCCGTCTGTTGTGCTGTGGCTGGTATTATTAGGGTGTGTCTGGGGAGCGATACAGTGTGTGTGACTGCAGGAACTTCCCCTCGCCTGCTGGTGGTGCTGCTCTCAGTGCTGCCTTAGAGCCAGAGCACCATCTGCTGTTCACATATATATCACCTCCTCTTCAACAGCCCTGTGGTGGAGCTGAGGACAAGTGGAGAGGACAGGGTGTGGTCAGCTGATCATGGATCTGAAAGATGAATAATAGCTCTGTATTTGTCAGTTTATGGATAGTCCTGGTATTCTTGGGCAGCAGTTCCCAACCTGAGGGTCAGGGCATCTCCAAGGGATACATTATATATTATATTCAGTGACTATAGCCTCAACTGTGATCAGACCATATTACATTAATATTAATCTCTACTGAGTACCCACAGACTGTCAGAACAATAAGTACAGATTCTTTAATATTACATTCTTTACTTGTGTACTACAGGCTGTCTGCTATGTCAAAAAGTAAAATATAAAGAGTGTCAACATGTTACAGTGTTAAACTTTGACCCTAACCTCAGTCCCAGTTCGCATCACAGACCGCCACAGATCAGGTGCGAGCCCCCTGCCCCACATAGTAGTTTTGAAGCGTGACATACTGCGTATATATATTTTTATTATTATTATAGCTTATTAGCATTAACACAACAGACATATTGTACTGACATCAGACCAGCGTTTACAACCGGAGAACAATGTACTGCCCTGTGTCTGTGAAAGCAATACTCCTGCTGTAGCTTCAGCCACGGAGCTGCTTTTAACAGTCACAGGGAGCACCAGCAGACCTGGGATCAGCTGACCACCTTAATGGATCATTAATGCATAAAGTAATAAGTAAATAAAAGTAGCGCAATTAATGTATATCTAAATGTAACAGTAAAAGTTTCTCTAAAAATCTACTCAAGTAAGTAAAAATAATCTGCATTAAAGTAGTCAGAAAAGTGACATCTAATGGAGTGTAACTTGTAAATAGTGCACTGTGTTCCTCAATAAAATGATATATTTAAATCTGTAATAAGAACATAAACCTAGAGAAGAAGTATACAGAAATATAATCGACCACAAATGGTACTTAAACTGCAGACTAATGCATTCTGACATCGAACTCCAAGATACAGTATAATGTGTCAATGAACAGCAGTTCTCCATCATTTAACAGCGAGCAGGATCTAAATCCTAATGAGTAAAGGTCCACGTGGAGGAGGTGGTTGAGTGTGGAGCAGCAGGAGTGGATGAGTCTCAGTGTCCTCTGCAGAGACAGAGATGATACATCCAGAGGAACACACAGGGATGATGGCGGGCTCGATATTGTGTCTGACAGTGGAGAGCAGAGCAGTCCAGACTTCAGCACTGAGAGTCATCTCCACTTGCTGTGATCCCTCCGTCAGTCACTGCTGGGTGAAGCTCTCCTCCCCACTCTACCTCCCAGTAACCGCACAGTCGGATCAACACAACCACCTTTCTCATCTCTCACACTCTTACAGAGACCACCATCTGATGAAAGAAGAAAACAGACAACAGAAGTTATAAATCAGTGTTTACAGAGACTCCCTTCATCAGCTGTCAGTCAGTGATGCAGCACATCCAGCATGAAGACCAGCAGGGACTTCAGTCCTCTTCAGACCAGCAGTGCAGTGGCTGTGTAGCGTAGCCAGCTTCTCTTCTCTCACACTGAGCCAGAAGCTCACAGACCTGCAGAGACTTTGGGCATCAGGTCTGTTTACTCTGCAGATGTCACTGAAGTAGCCTACACAGTGGAAGTAAACTCCTGAGAGTCCCTGAATGCATCATTACTGCAGAGACAGAGAGATACTGACTGCTGCTGTTAGAGTCTCAGAGACATTTGAACATTGCATCTGTCCTACTTCTGAAAACAAATGGACAGATACAGTGCATATCTTACATCTTCATAACCTCTGCAGTGTTTACTGGACTTCAGCAGAGGTTCTGACCATAAAGACTGCATGCTTTCTAAATGCAATGATGATTCTCTGCAGTGAGAGCCAGTGGTTTGCAGGCTTCAGTCAGACTGACCTTAGAGCTGTGACACACATATGAGTGATTGGGACATGCCCTACCCCAATATACAGAACAGAGAAATGTGACGCCCCCCAAAAATTGTCATGCATCAGTACTGTAATAACTAAATACTTATATGATTATAAAATGTTTCATGTTAAGATGCAATAAGAAACATACATCACAGACTGTTAAGCCAAGAGTGATGACTGATTTAGATTTTATGTATTGAGGATGGAGCTTTAATGGAACCTTTCTGATCATGTTTTTGCATTTAAAAGCACATGATAGGAGGAGAAAGCAACATATGACAGACAGGTTCTTCAGACTGTATATGGATTGAAGACTACTGGCTTATGAACTGGATCAAATGTACTGTGGATAGCAATAACGTGGACTCCTTGTTGTTTTTGTGTTGTTTGGATTTGGGGATTGTGTCTTGTGCTTAGCGGGGCTGTGATGGTACTGTATGGATTTTGTTGTATTTCTATTGTGAGATATCTTTTGAAAAGTCATTTGTGCAAGGTTTATGTTTGGCTGTTAATAATCCCATGAGGGACGGGTGTTGAAAATGAATCCATACATTCTTCATTCATATGACAGCAGTGCCAGTGCCTCATTCCCACCATTCCCCTGTGCAGCCACTGTGAAGGTTGCAGGTTTACTGGGAAATACTGGATCTTTGCTTTGATACCAGCTGTGTTTAGTACAATACTGTTGAAACCAGCATTCACTGACTCCAACTCTCGACTGACCTCAGAGTCTCCAGTATACAGTTTGGACTCTCCACAAGCTCAGACAGCAGCTTCACTCCTGAATCCTGCAGCTTGTTGTTACTCAGGTCCAGCTCACTCAGATGGGAGGGGTTGGACTTCAGAGCCGAGGCCAGAGAAGAACAGCTGATCTTTGACACACTGCAGTCTCTCAATCTGAAACAGAGCTCTCATTAATGTTAATGACAACGTGCTGCTACTTCAATAAAGACTATTAAAAGATTAAACTATTCAATGAGTATTAGCCTCACATAGCACACATTGTCTAATAGTTGATATATAGAATATTCATTGTATTTGAGTATTTATTATTAATCAAGAGTTAAGAGATTCAGGCTGAATTATACAGTGGTATCTTTTCTTATTATATTTAGGGTTTGAATGTGTAGCTCAACATTGTTCTGCGGCAGTCAACGGACCAAACCACTGAAGAAGAAAATATAATATAGCAATAAGATACTCATTGTGGATCCGTATAATATCAGCCATACGTCTTATGTTTGCAGTTCAGTGTCACCACAACTTTCACATCATATTAATCTCAGCACAGAAGTAAAAACTGGTGTCTGACCTCAAAGTCTTCAGTCTACAGTGTGGACTCTCCAGTAAATCACACAGCAGCTTCACTCCTGAGTCCTGCAGCTTGTTGTCACTCAGGTCCAGTTCCCTCAGAATGGAGGGGTCGGACTTCAGAGCCAAGGCCAGAGAAGCACAGCTGTGCTTTGACACACTGCAGGCACTCAGTCTGAATAAAGAACAAATAATGTACATTTAGAAGACAGTGTTCCTGTTTGAAATCATTCAATGGGCCTCATGCAGCAACAGTCTCTTAAATTTCTCTTATATTTCCTCAGAAGTCAACTCAAGATGCACCGAAGACATCGTGACCTCACCTTTTAAACTCTGCCAGCTCCTCCGGTGGCTCCACACAAACTCATGTTGTGCAGCCAAATGAAAACCCACAGAAACTGATTTAAGATTGAGCTCAAGATCCCAAAGATAACAAAGTTGCCAAATATGTCAGGATGAAAGACTCTTTATATTAGGAATAGTGGAGTCATAACATCATTAGCATCTTCAGTTTAAATTATTCAGTAATTATAAGCATCATATAGAGTCATAAAAATGTTGGGAAAATTCTAACTATATTTGTTATTGTCTGATAGTTAAAATAGAGATTATTTATTATTAATAGAGTGTATAAAGGACCGGTGTGTAGGATTTAGTACCATCTAGCGGTGAAGTTGCAGACTGCACCCATTTGAATACAGCTCAGCCTTCCAAGTGTGTAGTAGAAACTACAGTGGCTGCAAAACACACCAAAAAACGCGAAAGGCCGTTTCTAGAGTCACTGAGGAAGAATATAAACTTTAGAATTAAGATAATCAGTGTGGATCAGTGTAATATCAGCTTCATGTCTGCAGTTTAGTGTCATAACAAACATCACACCATATTAATCGTAAAAACTGGTGTCTGACCTCAGAGTCTCCAGTCTACAGTGTGGACTCTCCAGAAAACCACACAGCACCTTCACTCCTGAATCCTGCAGCTTGTTGTTACTCAGGTCCAGATATCTCAGATGGGAGGGGTTGGACTTCAGAGCCGAGGCCAGAGGAGCAAAGCTGGTCTTTGGCAAACTGCAGCCCAACAATCTGAATAAAGAATAAAAGATGTCACAATAGAAGACCACGTTTCTGCTAGAAATCATTCAGTCTTTTAATAATCTGTTCAGAGCTGCAGAAGATTTAGAAAATCCAAACACCCGAGGATGCAGGTGAAAAATAGCTCTTATTAATATTAATGACAACATGCTACTTCTGTTGGGTAGATATGTTGGGTGTTAGTGTGCTTCGTGCATCTCCCACAGGCTTCACAAAATGATCCAGGGTATTTTTCTTGTTCTATAAACATTTTAAATCTGTAGCTCAACACATGCTCTGCCACAGTCTATCAGTCTCCAGGATTTCACTGGCTTTCTGTGGGATTAAAAGTGAAAATTGCGTGAAACTACAATAATTGTTCAAATTTGTGGAAAATTTGCAAGGTTGCGTAGAATTCATGGAAATTGGCTAAGTTTGCATAAATTGATGCAATCGCAACATCACTAAACAACTGAAGAAGATAATAGAGCATTAAGATACTAAGATCAGTATAATATAAGACTTACTGTTTGCAGTTTTCACATTATATTAATCTCAAAACAGAGGCTTGAAACATTGATGTCTGACCTGAGATTCTCCAGTCTACAATTTGGACTCTCAAGAAAGTCCCACAGCAGCTTCACTCCTGAATCCTTCAGCTTGTTGTTACTCAGGTTCAGCTCTCTCAGATGGGAGGGGTTGGACTTCAGAGCCGAGGCCAGAGAAGCACAGCTGACTTCTGACACACTGCAATCAATCAGTCTGAATAAAGAACAAATGATGGAGATAAACATTGATTTACAACTCAATCATGTGTTCAGGTTTTAAAACATGTAGCTAACATGAGTATTGTGACTTAATTATTGTGTCATTGTGGATCATTATAATGTCAGCCTTCTACGGACATCATCCAAATGTCACCAACATTCATGCATCAACACAGATCAATAACATGCTGCTACAGTCAATCTGTATCAATCATCAAATCAGACAGGTTGATTTTTTTATTCTCTTTTATTTCCTCTAATTTGCAACAATTGTGTATTTTTAGAAAGAATGCCTTTTTAGAAATAGTGGACTTTCTAGTCTTCCACTCCCTCAAAGCGCTTTAACACTACATGCTGCATTTGCCCCCACACATTGACACAGTGATGGCAAAGCCCATCGAACAGAAACTAACTCATTCACTCCCATTCACACACCCATGACGCAGCATCAGGAGCAATTTGGGGTTCAGTATCTTGCTCAAGGATACTTCGACATGCAGTGGGGAGGAGTCGGGGATCGAACCAACAACCTTCCGATTAGTGGACGACCCGCTCTACCTCTGAGCCGCCCACAACCACATATTGGAATTTAACGTAGGCTTATTAGGCTGTCACTGACTTAGGATCAGTCACACGTCACATCACTAAGTCACTCAAGTGAGCACACCGTTCCTGTTATTTTTTACAGTGTAAAATTAGTAAACTTTTAATTTGGAAATTATGGATGGATTTGTTTTCAATGTGAATGAAGGAGTGTTGGATAACAACTTTTCTTAACAATAACTGGCAGATTTTGCTGCTTTTGAAGCCCTCCCGCTCCCCCGCTGTTCCTGAAGGTTATATATACATTAAATACAGAATACTTGAACTGACCTCAGACTCTCCAGTTTACAGTTTGGACTCCCCAGTCCATCACACAGCAGCTTCAGTCCTGAATCCTGGAGGATGTTGTGACTCAGGTCCAACTCTATCAGATGGGAGGGGTTGGACTTCAGAGCCGAGGCCACAACTTGACAGTGAGTCTCTAAGAGTCCACAGCTATGAAGTCTGTGATGACACAGAATATAAAAATAAAAATATAATACATTCTGGCACAAAATTATAAAAATAGACTCTATGCATTTTGACATTAATAAGAGCAGCTGTAGCTCAGGTGGTCTGTTGGTCAGCCAGTCAATGATTACAATATTTGTGGTTTTAAACTTGAGCTCCACCACCTGTGTAAACACGTACTGATGCATACCACACAGAAGTTGTTGAGCTTGCCTTACATCAACATTTTACTCCTTATTCTGGATGATTACAGGGTCAAGAACATCAGACTGAGAAAGGCATCATAACAGGCTGCACCATCTCAGTCATCCTTTTCGCACTTGCTGTGAACAAGGTTGTTAGAGGTAGAATGCAGGCCTCTTCAACCAACAATGGAGCATTTATGGATGATCTGACTGTAACTACTACATCTGTCCTAGGAAGCAGATGTATACTCCAGTGTCAAACTTTGCACATACATCATTCTGAGCAGCGAAGATCAACTGGAACAAGAAGAAACTGGAACTGCAAGCAGGTATTAACAGGGTCCAACAGAGGAATTTTCTTGTGTTTGAGGTACGTGCAGGGGTCTGTACCTGCCCTGTGAATTTCACATCTCCAGCTCTTACTGTGTACGCTACAGTACCAGAATTACTAACAGAAGAAAAATAATAAAAATCTGAACGGTTTCAATAAGGTTCCCAGCACAGCTGGTACTGGGTGCTGAATAAAGAAATACTGAATATATGTTATTGTCTGCCAGTTTAAATATATATTATTAAATTACTTATTGTATTTGAAAATCAAGTGTTTGAGAGGTTCAGAGTGAATTATCCAATGTAGGATTAAAATGTAAGTTTTATATTGTGTGTTAAGTGTGTATCTGTACTCCAGTGGCTTCAGCTTTACATTGCTTTATAATGGTAATGATCACATCTGGACTTACACAGCCTTTCTGCAGTTCCTCACAGCTGGAAGCAGTCTCAGTCGTCCCTCCCCTGATGTGTTATACTTCTGCAGGTCCAACTCATCCAGAACTTGCTCTGACATCTGCAACATGTAGGCCAGAGCTGAGCAGTGGATATCAGAGAGTTTGTTCTCTGATCTGCTCTCTGACTTCAGGACTTCTTGGATGTCCTGATATACTGTGTGGTCATTCATCTCCATCAGACAGTGGAAGATGTTGATGCTTCTATCAGGAGACATTTTTGTCTTCTTCTCCTTCAGGTTGTTGATGGCTCTCTGGATGACTTCTGGACTGTTGTCTGTCCGACCCAGGAGGCCTCCTAAGAGTCTCTGGTTGGACTCCAGAGAGAGGCCATGAAGGAAGCGAACAAACAGGTCCAGGTGGCCATTTTTACTGTAAAGGTGTTTCTCTATGGCTCCCATCAGGAAGACATCAAGGGTTGAAGGAACATGTCTTTCCAGGAAAGATTTCAGTACCGTTGTGTTCCTGTTGGTGTAACAGTGGAACATGTAGACTGCAGCCAGAAACTCCTGAATGCTCAGATGAACGAAGCAGTAGACTGTTTTCTGGAAGATCACACTCTCTCTTTTGAAGATCTCTGTACAAACTCCTGAGTACACCGAGGCCTCTGTGACATCAAGACCACACTGCTCCAGGTCTTCTTGGTAGAACATGATGTTTCCATTCTTCAGCTGTTCAAACGCCAGCCTCCCCAGCTTCAGAAGAACTTCCCCGTCAGCCTCCATCAGCTTCTGTGGACTCGTCTCATGTCCCTCATCATACTTCTGCTTCTTCCTCTTTGTCTGAACCAGCAGGAAGTGTGAGTACAGGTCAGTCAGGGTCTTGGGGAGCTCCCCTCTCTGGTCTGTAGTCAACATGTGCTCCAGAACTGTAGCAGTGATCCAGCAAAAGACTGGGATTTGACACATGATGTGGAGGCTCCTTGAGGTCTTGGTATGTGATATGACTCTGCTGGACAGCTCTTCATCACTGAATCTTCTGCTGAAGTACTCCTCCTTCTGGGCGTCAGTGAAGCCTCGTACTTCTGTTACCCTGCCAACACATTTCTGAGGGATCTGATTGGCTGCTGCAGGTCTGGAAGTTATCCAAATAAGAGCTGATGGAAGCAGAGTTCCCTGGATGAGGTTTGTCAACAGCACGTTGACTGAAGACTTCTGTGTGACGTCAGACACAACCTTCTTGTTCTTGAAATCCAGTGAAAGTCTGCTTTCATCCAGGCCGTCAAAGATGAACAAAAGTTTACAGACAACGAGCTTCTCTGCTGTGACCTTCTGTAATGTTGGATGGAAAACATGGAGCAGTGTGAGAAGACTGTACTGCTCATCTTTGATCAGGTTCAGCTCTCTGAACGAAAGCAGAACCACCAGACTGACATCTTTGTTTTCCAAGCCCTCTGCCCAGTCCAGAGTGAACTTCTGCACTGAGAAGGTTTTTCCAACGCCAGCGACGCCGTTTGTCAGAACCACTCTGATGTGTCTCTGTTGGTCAGGTAAGGCTTTAAAGATCTCGTGGCACTTGATTGTAGTCTCATGGAGGATCTCCATCTTGGAAGCTTTCTCAAGCTGCCTCACCTCATGTTGGGTATTAAACTCTTCACTCTGTCCCTCTGTGATGTAGAGCTCAGTGTAGATCCTGTTGAGGAGGGTTCTACTTAATGCTTCACCAGTTCCTTCAATCACACATTCACATCTCCTCTTCAGACTAACCTTATGTTCATCTATAACCTCCTGAAGACCACTTTCTTCTGAAAGAGAGAAAAAGTGTAAGACAAAACAAAGATATGACATGGTGATCATTTCAATTAGGAATATAAAACAAAATTAGAATACAGAAAGAAGTAAAAGCCGGCTTGTGGCTATTCTGTACGCATGCCAGTACAGAGTGCACTCTCTTGATTCCTCAGCAATAAGTGTGAAGTCGTTCAGATAAATGGTTCTCGAGATATGCTAAGGGCAGTCATACAAAAATACAGACAGAAAGGGATTCCTTCCTTTATAATCAGATGATGCAGATACTGCAGTCCGGTGCCACTGCACCAAAACAGTCAACTCTGTCTCAGCATTGGCCTTGTAAGGTTCAAGGTAATTTAAAACAATAAATGGTGTGTTGAGCCATTTTCCACCAATGAAATGTTGATTTCCATAAATTAGATGGGAATGTCAATATCAACACTAGGATTGATGTGTTTCATCACTGTGCAATGATTTCTATAAAGATCTTTGATGGCCGTACTGTATGACATAATAAATGTATTAAAACAGCAAGTAGTGTTTTCAGACATGAGGACATCAGCAGACAGATGTCCAGTCTTACTTTGCACAGTGCTGGTCTGACTGTCTGTCTGCAGTCTAGGTCTCGTTATGGATCTTTCTCCACACTGTGGACAGGAGGAGTCTCCTGGTGAATCAGACTGGTCCCAGTATGAGGTGATGCACTGTCTGCAGAACCAGTGTCCACAACTGGTAGAGACTGGATCCTTCAGGACGTCCTGACACAAAGCACAGCAGGACGGCTGCTCCTCCACAGAAACATGACTCCTCTTCCTCTTTCTGTGGAGACATTTCTTTATAACTAAAATGATTTGTTGACTGTTTTAGTAAAATATCAAGATTTGGTCGACAATGTCAAGAAGCTCAGATGGTCACAGAGAACAATAAAAGTGTTGTTACTTTTCTGTCTGAATTCAGCATTCAGTCTGTAATAAAAATCAGTTATTTCAACTCTCCTGCTTTCATAAACACTTTTTTCCGATCTGTCTTATTAAACATTTGGTGATCTGTCTGTAGTTTGTTATTAATACAGTGTCAATACTTCCTGCAGCCACTTCACAATAATAATAATTGTGAAGTAATAATAATAATAATGTCCTTAACTGTTTTACAATAAGTCTGGGCAGCTCAGCTCGGTGCAACGTATGAAACTCAGATCAAACTGTATAACGAGGCAGTGCTGATCAAATATGGATCTAGACTCTGTTACTGTTTGTATGTCACCTTGTTTTCTGTCACTCTACTGTCAGCTGTCAAATGAAGGCATAAATGCAACTGAAATACTGTACAGACCAGAACAGGTCAATTTTCTGCCCTTTGTTTATCCACTGATAACTTTTACAGGTGTACTGTTTGTTTGTTCCTCACTCTGCACTAATAGTTCTGTATTATAAATATAAATCTTTCAGCATTTTTTCTTCATCCTCAATGCATCGGGTCAGTTTACAGTTACAAGTACAGCTTACTTTGTGTCCAAGGTTCCAGGTTCAGCACTGAAGACTGGAGGAAGACCTTTCGACCAGTCACTCTTCAGAGACAGACAGCTGGACACTGGAGACTCTGATCTCTGTCTGTTGGACTGAACACTGCAAATTGATAAATTCTTTGTTAAAAAAAGTCCTTTAGGAAGCTCTGAAGACACAAACTACTGTATCTGTCAACTATTAGGAAGTTTATATTAGATCACTTTAGTTAGCAAATGCATTCAGTAGCATTTTAATATACAAACAAACAATCAGTAAAATATAAATCGGAGTCAGTAGCAGTTATTTTACTTTGTGTCTGAGGTTCCAGGTTCAGCACTGAAGACTGGAGGAAGACCTTTGGACCAGTCACTCTTCAGAGACAGACAGCTGGATACTGGAGACTCTGCTTTGTCCTCCTCTTTCTCCACACAACCATCCATCTGAGAGATAAAACAGTAACAGGACAAAGAAGAGAAACAGGTCTGTTCAGTCACACGCCAGAACGGAAAGTAACACACAGTCTCTCACATAAACATACACACAGAACAGTAAGTACACTTAGACACTGAAATAACACAAATGCTGTATTAACACTCACCCTGCCTCAGGCTTCAGCTTCCCTTCTTTCTGTCTTTAAGACTCTTCCCACTCAAAATGGAGAGATGAAGTGACTGAACACTTCCTGGTTCCCTCCCAGTATGGAAAGCCAAGCAGTTCCAATGTAACACAGTACGTGTTAGTGCGTGCTGTTAGCGCGTAAGTTAATGTCAACAACACATTCACAACATGTTAACACAATGTGAGCTCAGGCATCAATTTCACATCATTTTGAGTTATTTGGCTACTTACTGTCATAAATCCCCAAAGGTTCATTTAAACCATTTGTGTGTGTGTGTGTGTGTGTGTGTGTGTGTGTGTGTGTGGCTCAAATCTCTCTGCAGATCAGGATCAGACTGACCTGAGAGTTTCCACATGGCTGCTGTGTGGTTTAAGGGTGTGCATCGTCGGCTTTGTTTGGACTACAAAGATACCGTTAATAAATTATTTCATAAATTATTTACAAATTCCGTTAAATTACACAATTATTACACAATAATCACCAGCAGTACACTGACTCCCTCACTCGCAACACGGAGAATGTTTTTCTCCGGTGACAGACGCTGTTTTTCGGGCAGAAATGTGACGAAGAGTCGGTAGGACAGGCGGGAGGACAGACAGGAGGACAGACAGGAGGACAGACGCTTCTCCACGTACAGCTGTGGTATTTTTTTTCCTCATGTAAGTTTCCAAAGACAGTTACAGTTACTACGTTACTGTTGTTTGGTCCTGTAACGTTGCTTTGTGGGACATGTCTCTGTATTAAGTTGAGTGAGAGACCTGTGCAGTTATCAGTCCTCACTCCGCGCCGTCGGTTTATCCGTTCTCTCTCTCTCTCTCTCTCTCTGATGTATGCTGGCCTATATTACAGGACTAAATAATATGTCCTAAATGTCCCTGACGTCCCACCTTCAAACACAACCTCATTTGGCCATCCATGAAAAAGCTACTTAACCTCACACTTTTCTATAGCAATACATACTTCCTACGGGCACTGCACTAGTATAAACAAAGGACCCTCTTATGTCTTTTTCTGTCCTTCCTTTTTTGTGTAGCCTATAAAAATAAACTGGATTGCAGTTTCATGAGTTAAATTATTCAAGATAAAATTGCTCTTTCGGTAAACAAACACATTAGTGGGCATTCTAGCTTAAACCCCATTTATCAGACTTTAGTTTTCTATGATTAAAAACATTAACAACTGTGTGGAGATAAAGTTACAGCAGTGGTCCTCGCTCAGTGTTGGTTTAGGATACAGACCACTGTAATGAATATATGTCTTTGGAATATATGTGAGTATTTTAATGTAAGTTATGGCTACAACAAGCAGGCTACAACAAGACCATACTCTTAATCCTAATGAAATGGTCAAATAATAAGGTTTAGCTGACAAGAATGCCCAGCAGTAATGTAGTCTTGACTGCACCAAAACATCGTCTAAAGCAGGCCCAGGCAGGTCTCACAGAGCCTGCACATGAGCCGGGGAGGGGAGGCGTCACTCGTAGCTATAAGCAGCCTGTAACTGACTAGCACCTATTGCATTTTAGTCAAACCTGTTCTTTTGTCAGTGTGTGGCTTAAAACTAGCACACTGGCCTGGTTGGTAGCCGCAAGTGTTCTTCACTTTAACAATGTCACATCATTGGATGCTGATTGGGAGAGGGAGCTTTGTCGTCATCATTCTCTAATTTTGTACTTTTGGTAGCTTTTCCTAGAGCCTCCAAAAAGCGTCTATCCTTTCTAATTTTATGATTTGTTGGTTTTGCTGTGTTAGTCTTAATAATAGGAACAAATTGTTAAAAAAAGAATTGGCAAGCTGTGCAGTAACATTACTGGTGCTTCGCCTTGTAACCTTCAGTACCTGCATGAAGTGAGGGTCATCTCACACAGACTGTTGTTGTATAGTTCCAGATGCTTCCATCAGGGCGGTGGTCAAACTATAATGCCCTGACGATGCTGATCTTGTGCTGTGTCTGATGCATTATATCTATTTGTGTTGGACAACTGTCTCCAAAGCACTGTGACCCTCGGGGACATTTACGTTTTACTCTACACTGCTCTGCTCTTTGACCTCTGCAGGCTCAGGGACAGATAACCAGACGGTCATTACTGTGACAAAGCACACAAATGCTATTTCTGCTATCTTCATGGTTGTCCTCAGGGCATCATTGTAGCTTTGTGACAGGAGACTTTATCGCTGTCACCCCTGATAGTAAACACGCAGCCGACTGCATCCTGTTACTGGAGGTCACATTGGCATGTCGGCCCATCAGGCTCAGTCTGGACACCACAGAGGAAGATAAATCACGCTGGACACGACTGTTGCTTCTATTAGGAAGCCACAGTGTCTCGTTGAAGTCCCATTCATCACATCACAGCGATGGACACCACTTGGACAGGAGCTAATGCGCCCTGGGAAATAATGCTTACTTGACTGTTATGAGAGCTGCTGTTCCTCTATTGTTTCCTGTTTATCTGGTGATTTGTTTATTGTGAGACGGCGATTCGGGCAGCTGTTGCCATGGCAACCAGCAGCCTCCCTGCAGGACCGAACAAACGATAGCGGGACTTAATTCACGTCGACTGATTATTACTGGCAAACAGTGTTCACAGTGTCACTGCTGAGATTAATGAAAAAAGGAAATGACAACACCCTTTTATTGAAATCACATTTGCAAACAAAAGAGAATCACTTGAAAAACTGAAAATAACTCAGGCGATGTTTATCAGTCATGGCATCAATTAGCAAACAATTTATTGCCTTAGAAAGTGCTGCAGACCAATATATCGTCTAAAATATACTGCATGAAAAATGATCAAGCAAAATGTGTATCAAAATATGTTACATCAATATATTGGCAACATGTTTATAAAATATGGAGAAGCAAAACATACAGAAAGCAGAGAGAGAAATAGGGGGATGGAGAGAAAGACAAAGAAAAGGAGTGAAGAAGGAAGAAAGTAAGGATGTTTGGAAAGGGAAAGTCATCAGGACTCAGAGAAAAGAGATTTAAGGTCCAGTGTGAATATAATATTCATAGGTGTGTTTTCATTAGTGTGTAATCACCTGAATAAAGTAAATTATTGTGTTTTTGTTACCTTAGAATGAGCGGTTTACATCTAGAGATGCCACAGGTCACCTTCCACGGAGTCCGTTATTTAGAACCTGCATGTTTCTACAGTAGCCCAGAAGGGACAAGCCATACACTGCCTCTAGATAGGGGCATTTGCGGTTCTAAATCCTACACACTGGACCTTTGAGGACAGGAGAAGTGAAGGAGGGATGAAACAAAGGAAGGACCTGATGATTCAAGCAAACTAGAGAAGGAGGGAGGACTCAAAGGAAAGGAAGGACCAAGGAGAGAAGAGTTCACAGAAGGTGAAAGGGATTAAGCAAAAAGATGCAAGGATGTAGAGGATGTTAGGAGAAGAGGGTAAACACAAAGGAAGGAAAGGGAATGAGGAAAGGATTCAGAGACAGCCCTGTAAATCATGGAGAGGAGGGAGGTGAGTGGAATGTCGAGTCAGTGAAAAAGGATGCATCATCAGTGTTAGTAAGACAAAAGCGATGACTGAGCATGTGATCTGTAGAACATGTAGAAAAAATACTCCCGTTTATTACAACATTAATAATGCCAGAGGAATCGATATGGCGTGATGGACAGTCTTCATACAGTTTCTGATATATTGCAGCCATTTCTGGATCATCTCGCTCAATATGACGCTACACCTGACCAGCAACACAATCTACTGTGTGCCGTCTGCCTCTCTCATGATGCAGCAGTGACACTAATTATTATCAGGCCCCGTTTTCTGTTTTCTGCACTGTATTATGGGAAATCCCAATAAAAATATCATTTAAAATAATAATAATAATAGAGGAAGCTTAAATCTTTCCATGTTAATTAAAAAATGTATGTGTGTATGTGTGTGTGTGTGTGTGTGTGTGTGTGGAACTACTGGGACTGGCAGGGGAATAGATAAGAAAAGGATAAATAGCTTTAATGACAGTGAGGACTAGAGGCGGTATTTATGTTTTGTCTCTTAATCAGCATAGGATGAAATTGTGAGCAATGACACAGCCACGATTTTATGGATGAATAAATAGAACCTTGAAAGGTGACGGGAGGGAACCAGTTGGCCTTTGGATTCGGGTCATTTGTCTCGTTGCTCCCTGTGGCAAAGAATGAGAGAGAGAGAGAAAATTAGCAGAGCGAAGAAAAAAGTAAATCCAAACTCTAGCCCAGCACATCCTCCGCCGGGTGTTGGCAGCTCCTCCGTCACCACCGGAGGTCACTGCTATCTTTCCCAGACACACGCCGTCACGCCCTTTATACTCTCACTCTCCTCATTCTGTGAACTATCAGCTGCTCCTCACCCCCTCTTGTCCTTCCTCTCTATCTGCCACCTTCAGATTCCTGCTCGCCTGGACAACTCTATCTCTCAGCAATCTTCCTGTTTATATTTTCTACAGCGAGTCTTTTCTCCCTTCCTCCTCCTCTTCTCACACGTGGGACACACTGCCGGCGTGAGCAGTGTGTGACGGCTGAGATGCTGAGGCTCGGATGCCCGTGGAGGCCACAGTGCTGCTGCTCTTCCAACACTGAGTTTGATAAATACAATAAAAGCCTCGTTAACGAATGAACACAGAAACACCAGAGAGCTTTAAAGTTAAACAGACTGAAAGCTCGGGGCAATCGCACTGTCTGTAGGGAACCGGAGGGTCAGCATGGAGCACAGTATGGAGTGTGGACCAATAGCTGAAGAGGTTCAAGTTCATCTCCTGGGCACAGCCGATGTGCCCTTGAGCAAGGCTCCCGGAGTAACTGTGTGAATTTCCCCAGTGGAGATGAATAAAGTTAATCTTTACATACAGGAGGTGTTGAGTTAAAAATATATATTTATGATATTCATATTTTTTTTCATACCTTTGCCGTTCTACAGATATATCACTGAAACTGTATTGAAAGGTGTTTGTGTCGCTGGTATAACGCCGATATAAGTATGAACAGATCATTTTCACTGTATTTTTGCTGGGAACCTAAAAAATAGACGAGACCTCAACTCTCTATTGACATGTTGCTTCAAGGTGCGTGCTGAGTGTGTGTGTTGTTTATCCTTTAAGATACACACATTGGAGCTGTCACAAGTCTCCTACAGGTGGTAATGAAGGATTTTAAGTACCATGGAAAATAAAATGTGACTATCCTTTATTGAATGTAAACAGAAAATGCTACTGTCCTCCATCATCTTGCCTTCATGTGTCCACTGTACCACACAGAACACTGTACGGTATTTCCATGCAGGTCAATGGGATCTGTATAGTAAGGCACTATAAGTTCTCTGTATAAACCAGATATTTTGTTTTGTATATGTCAACAGAAATTCCATAAATATTCATGTGGAAAAAGACTCTTTGTCCGGGGTGGGTTGAACAGTGACACTCACTCATAATTACACCCAGCTACTGTCGCTGCAACTCATAGAGCCGCACACAAAAATACTCCTCTAGCTGTCATGGGCGTCTGCGGCTGACTGATTAGTGAGCTGGTGTCACGGCCGAGCTGTGACTGATAGCTCGCTGACAAGCAGGCCATTTAACCGCTGCCCACGTGTGTTTGGATTTCATAAAGGTACATAAACACGCAGAAATTGGCGGGTGTAATTTGTCTGGCAGCCAGCCCAAAAAGCTCAGCTCTCCTGGGATCAACAGGAGTAACAACCTGGAGAGCAGAAAAAGACGCTTTTATCGCCGCCAGTGTGGACCAGACGCAGACACACACACACACACGCTCACACACACACACACACACACACACACACACACACACACACACACACACACACACACACACACACACACACACACACACACACACACACACACACACACACACACACACACACACACACACACACACACAGCGCAACCTGTCTGTCACTCACACTCTGAGCTGGAGGACTGAACTCAACCAGAAAGTAACTAGGTACATTAACTCAAGTTCAATACTTAAAGCTAGGGTAGTAAACAGGGAAGGACAGAACTAAATGTTTAAAACTATAATAAGAGAGTAAAAAATCTTGAATCTAAAACCTAACCAGGCTGCAAATGAACTGCCTTGAAAATAAAGGTTGAGTTTTTGGGTAAATGATATGTAACTTTGTTGTAGTGATTTGTAATTTCCACTCCACTCACTCAACTTCATAAATCAGATTTCCCTCATATTTTATTTCCACACAGCTTGAAGCAGAAGAAATGGACATTATTTGTGAGCAGAATTTTAAATAACCAATTTGTTTATCAACCTGTTCCATCTGTTCAGGAACCTTTTCATCTTGGCCGAAACACTACAAATGAGTTTTGTGTAGCCTCAGCAGGTTCGCTCTGAGCACCGGCTGGAGGCGGAGTTAAGCTGGCTGCTGCACCTGTTCTGAATCAGGTTAATTGGTTGATTGGCTCAGAACAGTTGGTACCGACGCAGCAGGCACACTGCTTTCTACTACACTACTGGGATAAACACAAACATGGCTGAAGGTGGCCAAGCTGCCACATGTTACTGTATTGTACCTTGGCTTAGGTTTAAAATAAGTTTTTTGTCTGCTTTGTTGCCAGTATTGCCTACATTAATGTTTGTTACCATAGTGTCTTCATTATTATCAAGAAAACCTTCACTCACAAACACAGTTACATATTTTATATTGTCCTTTATATATCCTTCTTTTCATATACCCTCTAGAAAATGCATTTTATGGTAGAAACATATATTTTCACAGAGCATATACAGTATTTACAGTTTAAAGCTGTCATGGCTGTCTGTCAGAGTTTAAAGAAAAGTATTTGAACCATTTAAGCCTGTCCATCTTGTGCAGCCCACATCCACTATACCCCTGTATTTGTGTGTTTTATTGCAGGTAATAATACAGGACAGTGGGAGTGGAAAAAAGGACTTTTAAAGTAGCCTAAGGGAAAATTAAAAGTTGCACTGGAAGCTATTTGACTGAAAAGAGGGGTATTTATCAGGTCATTTGTGACACACACACCAGGACCCACCTCAGAGGCCCAGGCAGACCCTGAGCTCCTCCAGCGTCAGGCCTCGGTCTCCGTCCCTGTCACAGTACTGAGCGAACTTCTTGGCGCAGCGTCGCGGCTTCAGCCTCCGTCGCAGGAACTGACGAAGGGGTCGAGCCTCGCGTTCGCTTAGCACCCCGCTGGAGTCCATGTCCAGGTGCCCGAAATGCCACCGCAGCACCGCCGCTGGCCTGGAGGATTCCACGGCCTCCGGAGGGGCAGGAGAAGCAACGTCCAGGGTCGAGGAGGAAGGAGTGGCAGAGGTTGGAGTGATGAAAGATGGAGAAGGAGCGCTGGAAGGAGGTGTGTTTGAGGGCCTGGTGGAAAGAGACACAACCCAGGAAGTCAGAGATCACTAGTTTAAAGGATTACTCCACTGAAAATTGGACACTTGTGATGAAAGGCTACCCCCTCCCTCAACTGTGCAAACCCTTCTGGCTGCACCTGATTGGACGATTTCTGCTCCAGGATTTAAAAACGGAACAACATGGCAGCTTCTTTGTAACGTTCTCTCATATTACGAACTCCAGTAAAAGTAGTCCAATGGAGTGCGTTTCTGAATTTTTGGTTTTGATATATTCTACAATCTTAAAAACGTTATTAATCCATCATAAACAAAACACAGACGCACAAAACAAAAAATTCCACACTAGTTTGTGTACTAGAAGTAGCTTCTGTAATGAAAGTCCTCATAAACCAAGAGGGTTGTAATATAATCAAAATGCATTCACACTCAGCATAAACTTGATAAAATCTAAAAATCAGGATTTCTAGTCAGCGGTTTGAGTGAGATTATTGTTCACACCCCAGCAGGCGTCATCGACAGGACACGCAGTTGGCATCTTCAGACACCTGTAATCACATTTCTGTGACAGAGCGTTCCCGAGTGTTCGCACCTTGACCAAATATAACCCCCGACTTCTATTTACGGTATTCCTGCAGAGCTCAATAAATATACAATTTCACAAGGACATGGCAGCCTGCTGAAAAAACTAAATTACCAGATGGCTTCTGGGTTCCTTATCAGTTATACAGTGAGCAAAAACCACAGCTTCAATTTTCTGTATCAGACCAAAAGACAAACAAACCTGGAATTCATTAAGTGTGTAGACACACAGATTGATGAAAATGAGACACGAAGACGACAAAGTGTGTTAAAAAGGAGGATGTTTGTTCACGAACTGGGAGAGAAACAGATTGAGAATGAGGTAAGTACAGAAAGACCGAAGTGCTGAAGAGAAACATAGGAAACAGATGGAGTTGGTTCGTTCTTCCAACAGTTTCCATCAGTTAATCACAGACTTGATCAGGTCTGTGTTCACTGAAGTGTGAAACTGGTTTCATTTGGCACTCGGAGAAGCAACTCAGCTCTGCAGAGGAAAGTTATGCATCCACTAAAGTCCAAGATGTTAGGTCACACACACAGAAAAGGCTCGTGCCTTTTAGCCCATGGAGTTTCTGACCACTAGTGCTGATGAGCCTTATCTGTACTGTTTGTACAGTATGTCCTGTTTCACAGTACAGGACTGACCAGATTAAAGGATCTGATCTGAATATTCTGCTTTTATTTGTAGTTCTATTTACTGCATATTTTTATTTTAGCATATTTTCCAGCTATAGGAACATCCTAATCCAGAGATCCAGAGAGAAAGACGTAACGTAACTACAGAAGCTCTCTACAACTGTACTCTGTGGCGAGTGCCATCCTCCTCTGAGCAGCATGCATGGGAATGAATAACAATAACATATATTTCTCATCGTTTCCCTGATGGTCTGAATAAGTTGCAAAATTTCTGCTAGTGGCTTTTCAGAAATAAAGTCACTAAGAGGGTCCCCCCCCAAAGAATGCGTGGTTACACCCTAGTGCACAATACAAATATAACACTGCTGAATGCAGAGGGTGGTGACAGTTAATGGCAGTAATTAGCCACAGGTGACAATAATAGAAAAAAGGATGACCACACATCAAATTCAAAAGAATTGCTGTTTTATGATGAAAATGCATTTAACATGTTTCCAAGGACTTAGTTATGAATTAAATACAGTTTGATGGGAAATATTAAGCGCTAAACAAAACATGTTTACTTACCTTTAAGGCACATTTTAATGCAGAGCTTTAGATAACAAGCCTCTTCATACATTCTGCTCATTGTTTTCTTATTATTGTTCTGTACACATACTAGATTTAAATTTCCAAGTTCACCCAATGCAATAACCTCTGCATTTACACAGCAAACATACAAACTAATTATCACATGTGACCGTGATGCATATCATTTTCTTAAAGACATTTAAACGCAGCCCAGCTGCATTAAGGATGCATCCTTGTCATGAATTTCCTAAACTAATTAAAGGAAAACTGAGGTTATATTCAAACTCTCTCCCTTCTTCACTCGTTCAACACTCAATAGTTTACCCAACTTACAGTAAATACGGAGTGATTCTGGACACAACCTTCACTGATCACTGAACCTGCTGTGCTGGTAGATAGAAGATAGACTTACTGGTGGGGACTCAGACTTCCAGCATGCAGTGCTTCCAGCTGCAAAGCTCTAACCAGACTCTGTAGAAACTGCTTCTTAAGAGTTCCAGGACACCCTGAGGGAACAGAGGAGAGAGGACAGTAACCCTAGATGTTAGAGTCTTTGGCCTCTCCACATGTCTACCCTGCTGGACTGCCCTCCTGTTTAATGTCTACTGCTGTTTCTGTCACTTTCCTCTGGAGAGGGGACGGACATTAAAATCCCTGTTTTACAAATTATAAATGAAGAAAACATGATGAGGTGTTTATATTCCTGTAAGCTGACAAGGGAAACTCATATTTACCTGGCAGAGGTTTGTCCCTGTACCTCCTGTCGGTTGGCACCTCCTCTGCCCCAGTGCAGTCTGGGATGTGATTCCTGCAAATGTCACAGCCTTTAAAGCATCTTATTTTCTGAAATGGTCAGTATTTCAAATTAAAACCAGAGTAAATCTGCCAGTAGGAAAAATAAATGTGTTATTTAACAGTGAATTTTTTTCCCTGGTAAATAACAAAATGAATATTTTGTAATTAATTACAGCCAGAGATAGCGTAGACACTGCTTTCCTGCAGGAGTAATACAAATACATTATTAGGCCTCAGGGAGTTTATTTCTCACACCAGTGAACCAAAGAAAACCATCAGATGAAAACAGCGACCACTTTCAGCTGAGCGTCAACAACGCTGATAAACCCCCCCGAGAACAGAACCAAACGCAGTTCATCCTGATTTGTTCTGTGTGTTTCCTTTAGGGGAACCCAACCAGGGAACAGGGACAGTAATTGGTTTAAAATTGGATTATTAAGATTAACTGCTTCTGTGCGTTAGTGCGTAATTATATCTGTGCCTATATGAACCCAACATATCCAATGAGGAGAGGGGAGAGGAATAAAGAGAGAGAGAAAATCAAAAAGAAAAAAAGATTTGAAATCGATTGACAACTGACGGACGGACGGACGGACTGACTGACTGATGGACTGACTGATTACCTTGCAGAGGTGCCTGGTAGCGGCCTGCCGCTGTCCACCCTGACACACCAACAGTAACCTGTAGCAGTGTGACACTGCACGGGGTTGTAGCGGCCGTCTGCAGTGCATTCTGGGATGAAACGCTCTTCCTGCCAGGGTGAACGCATGTGAGAGAGCATCGACGCTCGCTCCCGCTCACAAGTCTGAGGACTGTCTACACACACACACACACACACACACACACACACACACACACACACACACACACACACACACACACACACACACACACACACACACACATTACATATCTGTGAGAAATTTACTTAAATCTGTATGCTAACCTAAATATAATTTCTTATTTTGAGTTTTGTCCCCAAAATGAATCCATAGAAGGATTTGTCCTCCACATTCCCATACATGAGGGTGAATATATTAAAAACACTTCAGATTATAATGCAGTCCAGTACAAGACCACATTTCCTTCAACAAAAACTGACTTTGTACAGACAGATGTTGTGGCAAAGCTGTTGCGTTAGACTGTACAAGTGTATCTAATAAAGTGGCCGATGAGCGTATAAGCATAGTTACTTAGTTATTATTATTAATATATACTCAAACTGGACAATTCAGTCATTAAGATACAGAAATAATGCTAGAATAATAACAAACATGTATTAACACATTTTAAAATGTGACTAAGACTGTAACTGTTTCTGTAAATGTTGGACTGTAATTAAGTTTCACTTTGTGTAACAGTAATGAAAACCTGGTGACAGTGTTGTAGAACAAAGTAAAGACATATAAATATTTAAAGAAATAGTTTCCTAGTCATCATATTATATTTGCAATGTATATTTTACTTTCCCTGAGTTAATCTGATCAATAACACACACAAATGTCACATCAGTATCGTCCCCTCACACAAGCAGCAGGCACTCTTACCGGAGGGTCGTCTGACTGAGCGGTTTCCTTTGGGGTCAGAGTTCAAAAGGATGGTCACCCATAACGGAGGAGCTGTCAGCTCTGGAAAAGAGAATCTTACTGTCACACAATGTTTAAAGGTATTTCTGCTTGTGGAGAAGTTGCAAAGAGAAGAGCACCTGTCTGTCTGTGATGTTTTACACCAAAACAAACCAAAGTGACAAGCTTACAGTGGCAGAGACCCAATTCCTGAGGGAAAAGTCTTTCTCTTTAGCTGCTAAATGCTCTACTGTGTCCACCAGGTAGTCTCTAACTGTGTCTGTCTGTTGTCTGATGCTATGCGGGTAATGTAGAGTGAGCTTTTTCACTAAAAATAGCTGTCTGCTGCTACGAGAGCAGTAAGAGTGAACCAAAACAGTTACATTGTGTCATGAAGCCTATATTGTCATTTGGTACTTTGTTATTATAAAAATATTGATTATAGGTGCTTTAAAATCCCTTTAAGCTAGGTTAAAGACAGTTTTAAGGAAGGTTACCGGAAATGTAAAGAAAAAACTATGTGTACAGCTGTACATTTCGAGTAGGGGAATTGGCTTGGCAAGTATTTGTTTTGGCTGCTGAGTTTGGAGTAGCTGGTGGGAGTTTTAAAGTTTGGATAAAAGTGGTTTATTGGTAAGTGGATAACGTATATTCAGTGCAGGCTCGGTCTGATGGTTTTTATGTAAACGTGTACAACACAGGATCCTTATCGGAGAAGGTTCGGTTTGTCACCTGCAGGTTTTCTGGGGTTCAGTGTAGGCTCCGGTTCACCAACTCCATCTGGAACACAAGAAAAGAGAGTGAAAATAGCAAGAATGAGGGAGGAAACTGGAGGAAACTGAGGAGGAAAGCGAGTGAAGAATCAGGGGAGAGTGGAGTGAAAATTAGACAGAGAGACATTTTTGGAGTACTGGCATGTGGAGTGGTTCCTGTAGGTGTGTCTGGCAGGGATACAACCAGTGTCACGCCAGGAAAATCCAGAAAAAACTTTAAATGAGAACCATACAGAAGTAACTTTACAGTGAAATTAAGCACAAGTATATATTCAGGTAGATATATAAAATGTAAAGAGAGCAATGCTGCCTGTGAATTTGGAGTGCAACATCTTCCTCACCTTGGATTGGAGCTGAATCTGCATCCGTAATCTGAGCCAACTTGGTCATGTGATCTGTTTGGGATAATATATTTAAAAACTCTTCAGTGTGGAAAATACACAACCTTTCATGCAGATTTCATTAGAGTAACATAAATGTGGCCTCAAATACTTGTTCAAAATCTTCTTAAACAGCAGCCTGAGACTGGCTATACTGAGCAAAAATGCCCCTCTGGATAAATAAAGGTAGAATTATAATATTAATAATCCATAAACCCATTAATTCTGAGGATTAATTATCAACACCAAAGGGGCTTTTTATCCTTTACAGGTGTACAGGTTTTGACAAGAGGAGCTTAAGACTACCAATGAAAACAGTACAAAATGTGAAAATCACTTTCTATACTGTGTGTTAATCCTCCTCAGTCAACACAAACTGAGTTAACACTTAATCTCTTCATTATATGGTATAAAGACAGCACAGTTTTGACGTTTGATTGATTTGTTTGATTTTTAAGATGCACCACATACACACAGGTGACATATTGAGGGTAGAAACTAGTGCAGATTCTCCACAGGCCCTTTGAGAATCTTTGACGAAGGCAGATTTTCCTTTAATTGTTCACACATTTGTGTAAAATAAAGTATATCTGACCAGTGCAGTTGGGGGTCAGATGAAGGACTGAGGTGCCACTGACAGGTTTGCCGTCGGGCGTGGAGCACCAGCAGTATCCGGTCTGGCTGTGGCACTGCACTGGCAGGAAGTGACCGTCCGGGTGGCACTCTGGCACAAAGACAGCAGCAGCTGGGCTAACATGGCCGCCACTGTTGTGAGCACTGGGCTCCAGGGCCTGAGTCCGGGCCAGCTGGCATTTGGACTGACTAGGATCTAAAACCAAAGGGAAATCAAGACATTAGCATCCACATGCTTGTCTTTTGTACTTGTGACTACACATCAGTGGTGATGTAGCGTTGTGTTACAGTGCATTGTGAGGTGCTGTACAAGACCACCACTAGAAGCAGACAGTTTTTCTGTCTGGTTGTATTTACTCTTTATGTCTCCTCTTATTATGGGCAGGGTCATTATAGAAATAAGTTACATATAATAAAAAAAGTTTTATTTAGCTTCATTGTGTTTCATCTTTTTGTATAAAATCAGTGTCCTTATATATTGGGTCTATTTTTGCATGCATGTTATAGTATTGTGCAAAATAAATAAGTAATGCATCAACATTGTCTCCAGGGAGCTGCGTTCAGTTAACGTATGAGCGACATGGGAATCATCATCATCAACAGGTTGTGATGATGTAGCTGTGGAGGAGTGTACCTGAGCAGTGTGCTCGCGGGACGAGGCGGAGCTGTGTGTTGATGCACTGTGCCCTCTGGAAGGCACACAGCGATTTATACAGCCTGCCGTTGCTACCACACATGGCTCTGTTGCGCCCCATCTGACAGTCCAGGACACAACCGCGAGGCCACATGTTCTCTGAGATCAGGAAAGGCTGCAAATACACAAACATATGAACTAATTATATTAAAATCTCTACCCAGCTATTGGGAACTATATGCTGCTGTTAATAGCATTCAGTACAAATGTGCACCGATGTCTTCTTTACTTTGTGCTGCAGCAGCTTACACAGAGCAACACCACTTGGCATCCATATTTCCTCCCTCCTGTAATTCTCTACCACCCGCAACAACAGAGGTATCAGGTGTATCAGTCAAAACCTTTGACCATCTTCTGACAGCTGAGTGCAGCTGTGCACTAACACAAGTGTCCCAAACACTGCAGGTGGAAAGAAGACATACACTAAAAAGGCATTTTATAGCCTGAAGGATGAACTGGCTGCTAGGGTGTCAGGCTCTCAATGTCACGCCTGCAAAAACTGGACTGAAGGAGAGAGGAAACAAGGAAAGAGGCAGAATGAAAGAGGGTGAGAAAGTGAGTGTCACAACAGTCAACACACCTGAAGCATGCAAACATTTCAGGATGGCTGAGCACAGGCAGAGAGTGTGAAAAAGTTTGTGGGTCTTCCCCTCACCTGTCTTTTTACCCGTGAGAGCTCCAAATTAGCAAACTAGTGAGTGAAAAAACTTCACCAACTGAGGTGAGGATGGCAGCATCCTCCCTGCACAGAGATGCTGTGTCTCCATCTCTGTCTCTGCTGTCAGGAACTGTGAGAGGAGGAGGAGGAGGAGGAGGAGGAGGAGGAGGAGGAGGAGGGCAATTGGCTTTGTGCCTGACAGAAAGACTTCTACACAGAATTTTTTTTCAAGCTTAATAGGAGCTTTTATACAAATGTAAAACGAGTCACTGACAGCAGAATATTTTGGAATAGCTCTATGAAAAGCTCTAACTAGCCAATAGAAACACGTTTCCTTCCCAAAAGCTTTATGCACCTGATACTTAGCCAACAGCTTTTTATGCCGTACGCTGCTATTTCCTCTTTTATGAGCTGACAAATTTAATAATATTCTAAGATTCAGTAAATTGCTTCTATAATAATTCTGAAGTTCTAACATTGCCGTAAGTGAGGAGGAATACAGTTGAGAGGATTATTAGTCTCTAACAGCCTCTACACTGTAGAGTGCCACCATAGCAAATAAACAGTGTAGAGACACAGAGGGTCGTGGAGGGAAATATTTTCCAAAATGTGTTATCCTTTCTTGCCATCAGAATGTTTTCTTGTGTCTGATCAGGAGCAACAATGAGAATGAATGTCACTTTCAAAATAATAACTTACCAAGAAAAGTTAAAGGACAAGTGTGTAGGATTCAGAGGCATCGAGTGTTGAAATTGCAGATTGCAACCATTTGCAGCCTTCCGAGCGTGTAGGAGAAACTACGGTGGCTGAGCAACTCACAAAAAAAATCAAAGCCCCTATCTACAGCTAGTGTTTGGTTTTTCTGTTCTAGGCTACTGTAGAAACATGGTGGTTCAACATGGTGGACTCTGTGGAAGAGGACCCGCTCCCTCTGTAGATAAAACCAGCTCATTCTAAGGTAATGAAAACACAATGCTTCTTATTTTCACATGATTATACACTAATGAAAACCTATGAATATTATATTCCATTTCTGCCAATAGATCTCCTAAATGTTACACAATGGACCTTTAATTTTCGCACAAATAATTTATCAAATTCCTCACACACTCAGAGTTAATTCTGTACATGGAAATATAAATACAGAAAACTCACCCAGACCGTTGGTTGGATTTTATTTGTCACTCCAACAAAATCAAACTCTACAATAGGGACAATATTTTCTCCCTTTCCATTCGAGGCAACTGTGAATGTCTGGTTTTGTCCAGATACTGAATCAAAAATGTATAAACTGCAGGTAAACAAAATATAATCACAGAGCATCTGACCCTGTTGTAAGGCTTTTAAAAGAAACCACCCATAGGTGCCACTGGATAGGATTATTGGTTCAGTGTTAGAGAGATAAAGGAGTGCCTTCAACCACAGACCAACCAACAACATGAGATAATATAAGGGTCATATGATTGATGGTGCTATTCTAAGATGCTCCAGTACACTGGTTCTCAAACTATGGCACACAGACTACTGATGGCATGTGAGCTCCCTCTGGAGGAATCACTCAAATATATTTTTTAAATGAAATAGGTTAATTTGAAAACATATAGTACTATCAAAATACTACAGCAATAAGTAATCTTCTTATTAGGAATAAAGCTGCATGAACTGTCTTGGCTGAGTAAGGTCAAACTAAACTACTCTATAATTTAACACTGGTCTTAATGAGAGGTTGTACACAGTGTAAAAACCTACAACTAAAAATACTGACTGATGATCAGCATTAGTTATTATCAGAATGATCTTTTAAAATCCTGTAGTTTACTGTAAAATGCTGCACACCTTAATACCAAATAGGACTGTGCCTGAAGGAGAGGAGAGGAGAGGACAAGAGGGGAGAGGAGGGGAGAGGAGAGGAGAGGACAGCAGAGGAGAGGAGGAGAGAGGAGGGGAGTCTGGCGAGCGTGATGATCCAAATTACTCCCACATGCTCATCTAGCTGCCTGACAACACACTCTGAGCTCAGGATCAGACACAACTTCACACTTGTCCAAAATATACATTGAGATTCGTCACACTGACACACACACTCACTGAAAACCGCAGAGACATGCAAGGTAACACACATCCAACACACACACACACACTGACGCCACCTTCTCACTCTTCATCAGTGCCTCTTTGTCCATCAGCCTCCCCTCTCTCACTGCACACACATACTGAGTGGGACGCACACACACACACACACACACACACACACACACTGAAACCAAACCTACCCCCTTTGAGTGTACTGGTGCAGGTTGCTCAACTACAGGGTCTTCTGATTTAACTTTATGTCCAGATGACAGATTTCCTTTTGAAGATTACCAGCCAACAAGACCAACTGTACTGATGCATTTTTAACACAACATCAATAATAAGAAGTGTACAATGAAATCTTCTACAGTTGTCCGACACTTTCTCTTAACCTTAAATGCTTTTTTGGCACTGCTGGCCATCCCCACTGAAACAATAAAAGCAAATCTGGACGGTGACAGTGTCAAACTGTCTGCCTTTATGGAAAGATGGTGTGAAATAGAGGTGGTGGATGGAGGAGGAGGAGAGTTAGGGTGTAAGGAATCTGAAATAGTGATGAAGAGTATAGCTTCACTAAAGTCTGAAACATTGCAGCCCGTCCAAGCAAAACACAAAATCATTTCTGCCCAAACCCTCACTGAACCACAAGTGCAGCTGACACAGTAAAGAAATGTCTGACTACTAACAGCTGAAAATATGTTTCCTCTTGTCAAGGTATCAATGTCCTCAAATGTCTTGTTTTGTCCAAAAGACATTCAGTTTACTGTCAGAGAGGACTTAAGAAACCAGAAAATATTCATAGTTGAGTTGCTAAAATCAGAGCATTCAGACATTAAAAAACTATTAATCGACTATCAAAATAGTTGGTTCGACTAATCGCTGCAACTCGGTTACCAAGGTTCTCCAAGTCTGTTGTTGATGTACCTGTGTGGTTTGGTCTGAGTCATTTTGTTTGTTTCCACACAGGAATGGACAGCTAAAAGAGCGTTAGTTAACTGAGAGTTAGTTAACTGAGCGTTAGTTAACTAACTGAGCGTTAGAAGATACTGGCTGAATTGACTTGAATTAAAATGACTGACTGCACCTTTAAAGGACCAGTGTGTAGGGTTTAATGACATCTAGCGGTGAAGGTGCAGGTTGCAACCAACTGAATACAGTTCGCCTTCCAAGCATGAAAAAACAGAGAAAGGCCCTATCGAGAGTCAGTGCTAGGTTTGTCCTTTCTGGGCTACTGTAACATGGAGGCGGAGGACACTAATGAAAACATACCTATGAATATTATCTCCTATTTCTGCCAATACAGCCTCGTAATTTCTTACACACTGGGCCTTTAAATAAGAAATGAAATGAAATCCTCAGTTGTATCCTGTTGGCATGAAAGTTAAACTGTAAGGGAGAGAAAGAGAAAAACAAGGGTAGAAAGGAAGGGGAACAGAGGAGGAAAGAGAGAATAAAGGGAGCAGTGGAAAGAGGAAATTATGAGAGAATGGAAGAAGGGAATAAAGGAATAGTGGAAATAAGTTTGGAATTGAGAATGGAAAGAAGGGGGAATGGAGGAATAGAGAATGGAGGAAACAAATGTGGGACTCATAGAGGTGGAGGAAAAGACTACAACTAAAAATGGTGGGAGGGATGGAAAGAGGAAGAGAAGAAAGAAGAGAGAACATGAATAAGGAATATGGAAATAATTGAGGAAGGATAAAGAAAGAATGGAGGGATGAAAAGAGGTATGAGTGGAAGGACTACAGCAGGGAGAAATCAGAGAATGGAGGAAGGAAAATATGAATGAAGAAAGGAACAGAGGGAGACATGGGAAAATAAAAGAAAGGAGGATGAATTCAGGGAGAAATGTTGCTAAGAATAAAGAAAGAAAGGTGGAATGAAAGAGGGAAGGTGGAGAAATATAGGGATAGAGGAGTGAAGGGAAAGAATGAAGGAGCAGATGTATGAAAGGAGGTTCTGGACACAGGTCAGGACACATTACAGGGGAAAGACTTGTGGATGAGTGGAATCGAGGAAGGCGTGCAGAGAGAATGGACACAGGAATGAATGTCTGGGTGGAATGAATGAGAAGGAGAGAGGTTAGTGGGAATCGTGGAATGGGGGGATGAAGGGAGGAGTAGCAGGAGCCCAGCTGCAAAGTGTTGGGCAGACTGGATTTCCTGTCTGTCAAGTAGAACTACAGCAACTACAATATCCTCAGTGTTAAAACAATTACCACCAGTGTTTTTGAGCATATAAAACTGCAGCCAGAGTGAGTGTGTGTGTAAGAGAGAGAGAGAGAGAGAGAGAGAGAGAGAGAGAGAGAGAGAGAGAGAGAGAGAGAGAGAGAGAGTGAGCGAGCAGCAGAGAAAGTGAGAACAAGCTACCACTGTCTCCTCCTGCCTTACACATTCCAGATACCGCCGACCGGCTGCTTTAGGAAAACATATAAACTCATCTCCAGTTTAGTGAAAGCCGGCGTTTGGCCTGGAAAAGGGTCGCTGATGCTGCTGAAAGGCCTGTTGACACCCAGTGGTGGGATTCAGCGTACGGGGGCTCGCTGAGGAGTGAGACGCTCGCTTGTGAACGCAGCTCTTTCTCTCTCTGCCTATAAACCCGTCCACAGCGATCATTAACACGCAGACACGCGCCGATGGATGAGGATACGTTTAACGTGTCAGGGGGATTCAGAGGTGTGTGCGTGTGTGTGTTTACATACATCACTTTCACACACGTTTACTCTCCTGATGGAGACTGTCGCTTTCCTGCAGGCACAGAGTGTGTCTGTGCTGCTCACTTTATGCACACCTTAAAGGAGCAGACCACTGTATTTTTGTATGGTTTTAGCCCATTAAACACTAATTACCTGCACTTTACATTAACTGCAGACCATTTCCAAAGCGAACGCTCAGTTTCCAGATTGATGTCCGACCTTTAAATAAGCCTCTGACTTCAGTACATTTAAGTACGTTAAGATATCATTTATTGATCCCTGTAGGAACATTTGCTGTCTGCATTTAACCCATCCTCAGTGTTAGGGGCAGTGGGCAGCCATTGTTCAGCACCCATGGGACCAACTCTAGTTGTAAGCCAGAGCCTGACAGGAGACACATGTTATGATGGCAGAAACAGCCGGAGAAAATCCACAAATAAAAGGGGAAAACGTGAGCTCCAACCCAAAACCCTCTTGTTGTGAGGCGAGGTCATGGCACCCCAGTGTTTTGTTGTCGTCATCATGGATATAGAAACACAGATACAGCGTTCTGGACATCTGCATGGTCGACATACTGGGGAGGTCAAGATCCGTTAATTAACAGTACTGAGATGAAGACAAGATCCACTGCAACCCGCTTGATTCTGAACCCATTTTAATGAAGTTTGGTTTAAAAATCTGATAAATTGTGAGAATGATTTCAGTTATTGGCGGCGGATCTAATCAGCTCTATGGCAAAACATTAACCTTCTGAATAGCAACAACTTCCAGCGGGATAAGCCGGCTCTGATCTATGAACAGGCAACATCAATCGAAATATTTTGAACTTTAGCTTTTCTCAGTTTCTCTAAAAATGTAGATTTCTATATCTACTGTATTGTTATAAAGCCTCCCTGTTTATGTGGAATTTATCAACAGGAAAACAAATAATTCAACACAGGTTAATTGTTCCTGCCAGTTTCATGGATTTGACAAGTAGTTTGTAGCCTACCATGTGTTTATACTGCATGCACCAGCTCACACACACTAGTATACACATGCTGCATATCTATGGTTGTCATCATTCAAGTACCTATCTGCATATCTACCTACAGTACAGTACAGTACCTATCTGCATATCTACCTACAGTACAGTACAGTACCTATCTGTGTACTATATTGCGTAGAATATAGACAGAAACATTACAACACGGGAGCATTTTGAAAAACACATCCTTCCTTCATTTAACATCCATTAGTTTTTGTCAATATTTAATATGTATTTTGCATTAACCTGTGGTACCGCTGCCATATTCTACTGGAGTCTATAGTGAGTCTCTGACTTTAGTGACCTTAATATATTTGGGCAGATTTCTACATGCACTCAGTGTAGCTGTGATATTTGTATAACATACTGTTAAAATATATTATAGGATTACTGTGGCTCTTTTTCACAAGAGTTCTCACCTTTCTCTCTCTCTCTCTCTCACTCTCTCTCTCTCACACACACACACACACACACACACACACACACCTGTCTGGTTCCCCTGAGGAGCAGGTCAAATATTTGCCTGGCAGCAATGTGTGTGGGTTTATGGTTTGGTCTTACTGGCTGGTGTTCCCCCACCATCCTCCAGGGAGCTCTCTCTCTCTCTCTCTCTCTCTCTCTCTCTCTCTCTCTCACACACACACACACACACACACACTAACTCAAACATGAAGATTAATCTCTTCATCCTGAAAACTAATATTGTCGTTACGCTGCCAGAATAACAAAATTAATGGCACACAGTTTTGGATTTTGTGTTGTTGTCAAGTCTGTTTGACTAAACCAATTATAAACCAAAGTTGATCAAAACTGGCAACATGGAGCCAATTACACACACACACACACACACACACACACACACTTTACTGCTTACAAGCGGAGAGATTGTTTTTGTTACCCAGTTAAAACTGAATAGTAGAATAGTGCTGAGAAAGATACTCTTCATTGTGTTAGAGGACAATGTTGGTGTACAGAATCTGGCTTTAGATTTTGGAACTTTATGGAGCAGACCTGTAGAAAACTTTCTCTTATTCTTTGACTCAACCTTTAACTTTATACAGCACATATTATCGTGCTGTAACTTCTGTCTTTAGCGTTTAAAGGGGTTCATTGGAAATACAGCACAGATGTTCTCTGTAAAAGCTTAATGGGTCAAAATAAGTTACATTTTACAGCAGCTAATGTCAAAATAAATCAAAATCAAACCAAAGGAATAACGTCAGAACTAAAGGCTAACAGTAAATCAATATATCAAGCAGAGAAGCAGAAAACAAAGAGGCACCTTGACACAACGTTACAAAAACTCTGTGCCTTTTCAACAACTTCTCCATGTAAAAAGATTTGAGAGTTCTAGGTGCAGTGGTTTTGGATCTGGACCTGGTCTAATGCGGTCTATGTGCTGAAAAAAGTGTGAAATGTGTCTTTAATGCATTTTCACAAATAGAATAAAGGTTTCACAAATCAGAGACTGTGTTTTTATGAATCTTCAGGGTCTGTACATCAATCCAGTCCAGATTTGAGAGGTCTAGGTACAGTGGTTTTTGATCTGGACCTGGTCTAATGAGGTCTTGGTGTAAAACAAAAACGGTGAAATCTCCCCTTTAGCATTTTCACAAATAAAATAAAAGTTTCACAGATACAATCGTAGGTGTCAGGCAAAGCTGATGTCTTACCTAAAATGTCTAAAACGTTTTCACATCAAGAAGTGTCACAAAAAACAGACAATCAGTGGACAAACAGTCGCACTGCACAATAAGTTAATTTCCCCTTAACTTTCCCCTTAAGTGCCGAATCGGAGGCTGGCGAATCGGAAGCCAACTTCAGCGTCGTTTTACAGAAGGTATTTTGAGTTGTGTGTCACATTATAGCCTTCATTAATGCGCGCGTGCAGTAATAGGTTTACACTCGTTAGCTGCGGAGGTTCGCCTCAGATTTTAAAAGCTCGCATGAAACTGAAAGCTCAAAGTTTCCCACACTCAAACGCTGAGTAAGTTCTGGTCCTACCGCTGTTCTGTCGGTCTGAACCGACTCCGAGAGCAGGAAGACGAGCAGCGCGCGGCAGGTGAAGGTGAGCGCGAGCATCATTCCTGCCACGGCGGGCCAGAGGAGGAGCGGCCGCGCGCCCCGAGCTCCCTGTTGTTCCGAGGTTTCAAAGCGCCGCAGTGCGCGCGCAGCGGGCACAGCCAGGCTGTTGTTGTCGTTGTTGTTGTTGTTGTTGTTGATGATGAGAAGAGGTCTAAACAACAATGGTCACGTCACGGCTTCAGCGTCACTTCTTCGGATGTCACCGAGCTGCTCATGTTGTTGGTCTCGAGCTACTCCAAGGGGGCACAGCGGCGCGCGTGAATGCAGGACCGACAGTCGGTGCTGCACGCGCAGATCAGACCCCCTCCCTCCCCAAAAGGTACTGCCCATTTCCGTTCCTCGAGCCTGAAACCAGTTCGTTTAATCCAACAGGTGAGACCAGCAGACCCCGCGGGCAGCCGCACACCTGTGATATTACATCACTGTCTTTATACCTAATATAATGGAGGTGGCCAGAGCTAACACACACCTCTGTACTCTAGCTGTAACCTCACTATCACTATTAATAACAATCAATAAAGTTGCTCCAATGTCCCAAAAAATTGGACACAAAGTTCAAATGTTCCTCCTTTTGCTGGGGGCCACCTACAACCCACTCAAGGACCCCTGTTGGTCCCCGCACCCCAGTTTGAAAACCACTGTCAAAGAAAATGAACATTATTCACAAAATCTCTCCAAAGTTTGAGCTTAATTCACTTTTTATACACATTCAGTTGCATTTTAATGTACATGCTGACAGCCTTGTATTGTATATGGCACATTAACTGGAACCAATGTTGTTATTTGATTAAAGTTGTACTTTATCTTTAATAATTAAATAAAAGTAAAGCTCTACATCTCAGTGCAGACTAATCTACTTCTCATTATCAGTCATATTCTCATCACACCAGGTTTCCTCCAGAGCAGGAACGTCTCTTTTAACCTCATGTGTTTTAATTAAATACAATAAAAAGTGAAGATGAAATTGCAATTTAATCAATTGTTGGGGAGGGATCAAAACAGTTTCCTTTGCTATATAATAGACCTTTTTCACAGCAGACATTTTGACAGAAAATAGGGTAAACACAGGCGTCCCCAATGATACTAATAAAAGGTTCCATTCAGGTCAGAGTGCTATATGAAAGGTTCTGCTACACTAAATGGAACAGAGCCTTAGTTAGTGTCCCCTGGTGTTTACCCTACAATTTAATGCCAAAATGCCTGCTGTGAAAAAGGTCTATTTTATAAATCAATCTGTTGTGGTATGATGGCACATCAAACCTCCAGGGTTATATCATCATGAGGCAGTTTGAGATAAAACCAAGATGGCAGTTTGTTGTTGATTGTTGCTTTCATTTTCACCAAAAACTTTTTTCAAAATCCCCCCACACACACACACACACACACACACACACACACACACACAAAGAAAAAACGACACGAAGCCAAGCAGAGTAATTTTGTAAGGAAACTTTTATGTGTGCTTTGTGAAACTCACTTTATCATTAGAGACAGAAGGCGTTGCAGTTTCCAGTACAGCAGATAAGGTTCGATATTAAAGAGTACAAAAAAAGGAAAAATCACAATTCCAGAGTTCATTTCTCTCTCTCCAACCTCGCAGGGGAAAAAAAAGAGAAAGAAAAAAAAAGAAACAAGCTTTTGGTCCAAGTCTTTTCTTCTCCGTCCCTTCCCTGTCCGTCCGTCCCCCTGTCTCCCCCCTCCTCTCCCTCCAACAGCCGACAAACACTAGAGAAATAATCTGGTATCCTGTTTAATTTAGACAGGGAACTTTCTCCGAGGGGGTCTGATTGGTGCCCACAACTTTCCCCAGAACTCAGATATTTGAACACATTATGATTGCATAGTTTTTTTTTTTTTTTTAACAATTTCCTTTTTTTTAATATTTTTTTTATTTGCACATAATGGAATGTTTACATAAAGACCCCTCCCCGATCTTTCCCCTCCCTCCTTCCTTCCTCGCAGTAAATTTTCTTTCCCTTTTCTTCACAGACGAAAGGGGGAGGTGGAGGGAGGAGGGGGAGAGACGGGGGAGGAAGTGGGAGAGTGAGGTAGGGAGAAAGTAAGAGAGAGAGGGACAGGGCTGTAGCCACCAACAGGCACGTTTATTTTATTTCATTACTGTCACAATTTATTTTTAATTTTTATTTCCAAAAGTCACATGGGGGGGGGGATCTGTTCACAACGCGTTACCATGGTTACCCAGGAAATGCGAGAACCTTCATTCAGCCAATCAAATGCATCCATGACATGATGTGTATATATTTCTGTATGAATGTGCGCGATTTCTGGTATATAAAACTGGACTAACTTTTACTACTACAGTCTTCTTACCTATCATATAAATGTATAGTTTTTTTTGTATTTAAATAAGCACCTGATGCCCACCCCAGGAGGAGAATAGTTTCACAGAAGCAAATATTTGTGGATAACTATGGTGATGCCCGTCATGGGATTTGTACAGGAGAAGGCCGTTAGGTACACTAGCCTCAACTTCATGGCCACCAGCTGTTTCCATCGCTAAAAACAAAACAAAAACCTGAAAAGACGTGTGGAAGCTCAAACCTACCCACTGGTGAAACTGCTCTCTCTCTGTCACTATCATCAGCTTTTAAATTTCATCTCATTTTATTTTTTTTTATTTTTTTTTTTAATAAATCTCGCTCTACTTTGCCCTACTGCCATTGATTATTCTCAATAACTGGGACTGTGTGTGTGTCATTCTTCGCACTGAAAAAATAAGTATGTACAGCGCTGAGCCCCGCCCTCCCACCCGCACCGACCCCGACCCCCACCACCCACCTGCTCCAGAAAATAAACAAAAAAATAAAGAAATAAACAAAGACAGGAGGAGGAAAAGAGCTGAGGTTAGACAGGTCACCTTATCCAGCAACATGGGAATTATGGGTAAATATGTCATTTTTTATCTCTGGTTGGTCAACACCCCCCTCCCCCTCTCCCCCCCTCCTGACCCCGCAGCATATATCTCTCTAGGATCTAATACACAAACCTCGCCAGTCGCCACGTCAAACCCCCCCCACCTTACGCCCTGAACCCCCCTGGCAAGAAGAAAAAAATTATAATAAAATAAACAAAAATTAGCATAAGTATCAGATTAGCTTGTGCCCCCCCCCATCCCTCCCCTGTTGACCCCACAAAGGCAGAGAGGGTGAAGCTAAGGACCCATACTACAGAGCAACTGTCCCCCTGTCCCACAGCTGCCCCTGGATATGCCTGTTCATATAAACCTTTACGATAAATTGATTACTCTCGATCTGATTACGACGTAACGGAGCTGGAAAACCTTCGACGGAGGCCGAACCTAACTACAGCTCAATCAACAAGCTCAGTCTTACAAATTTCGGATTTCTAAACCGGCACACGCAGGGGCACCTCACAACCACCACTCATATTCTTCCAAACGCTCGATTCCTGGCATCTCCTCTGCATACAGAAGAACCCTCTACCTCCCTCCCCCTCTTCCTCCTCTCCCTCCCTTGTCTGTCCAGCCCTCCTCTTCCTCTTGCCTGCTCTACAGGTCGCTCTCTCCGTACAGGGCGGTGGAGAAGGACATGTAGTCGAGGGCTCCGGGGATGGCGTCGGGCCCTGTGTAGGGCGCCATGCGGGCGATGCAGTACTCCGCCTGGTCGGGGGGGAGCTCCCTCCTCAGCTCGTCGGCCGTGATGAAGTTCTGATGGAAACAGAGAGGGTGGTGCGGTGAGTGAAAATGTAGTCAGCAGTCAACACGGGCACATGGGGGAAGAAATGACGAGAAGCCACACATCTTGATCCCCAGCAGCCTTTTTATTAGGACATTAGGACGAGGTTTGGGAGGAAATCGGGGAGCTGTTGGGAGTTACAAGCTATAGAAACAAGGCTGACAAAATGCTGTCGCTGCAGCGTAGCTCGTAGTATCTCTGTCACGCTCTAGTTGCTAAACTATTCCATTTATATATTACAATATGGCAAATTCAGACAAAATGTATATAATTTAAAAAATCCTTTTGAAACACAATATGATCACATCCTCGTGATCTGATTCCACTTAAAGTTAACAGATGGTGATACTGAATTATCTCCCAGCCCAGCTCATTATTATTTTCTTTAACTAACATATGGTAAGCAGCTGTCAAAGGAGCAAGGAAAGGGTGTTTAGAAAGCTCTGATGCTATCGCTCTCTGCACAGTGAGGAAGCAGGCAGCTGTTGAGGATGCAGTCAGTACGGGGAGTTCAGGGTGGCCATGACTCGACTTTAAATAACTCTGCCATTCAAATATTAAGTTCAAGATATGGCCAAGACATTTACTCACTCACTGCGTTACAGGAGCCAATATTAAAATGATAGTGAGACAACTAAAACCAAAAAGAATTAAACCTCAGCTCCAAAGAATCCATTAAAAAAATCATGGTATTTATTGATTTCTGGGCCACTCTCACCCCCCCCACACACACACACACACACACCTTATCAGCGGCCAGGATCTTGAAGGAGGCGATGACCTGGTCTGCTGTGTCCGTGTCGGTCGTTTCCCTGGACATGAAGTCAATAAAGGCCTGGAAGGTGACGGCGCCGCTGCCGTTGGGGTCTACTATGCCCATGATGCGAGAAAACTCGCTGTCGCCCTGGCAACCGAGAATCAACAGGTTAACCCAGGAGAGACAGCACTTAGTACTCAGACACGCAGACACACACACAAAACATGACAAACAGTTCATAAACAAGTGTGTAAAACATCAGGACCACCGTTATATAGACCGAGCCGGTCCCAATATTTTATATTTCACACTTTGACACATGCATAAACATATATAACACTGGTTAATATCAATGGGAAACACAGACAGGACACAGAGGACAAACAGTTAAATTGGATGGTTTATCTGTATCACCTACTGGGGCAGAAGTGCAGCAAGTACGAAAGCGACACAGATTTGACAACATAAGACGAGCAGCGAGAGGATCAGGGAGGAAGAGCAGGGTGTCTGCAGGTGTCAGGTCAGATAACACATTACACTAACACCAGAATACGCTGGAAACTCAACTTTTGAGTCACAGATGTTTTTTGTGCCATTATCAGTCATGATAGATTTTCAAGACTGAAAGATTTTGGTTGCATTGAACCATGGTGTCATAGTTCTTCCATATGCAAGCCATTTGAAGCTTTGAATCTGGCAAACTGAATTGAATTAGGGTGCTCTTGGACCCGCAGACACCCTGTGAGAGCACCATGCCAGCAGCAGTACCAGGCTGTTTCCTGTAGAAATGAGTAGAGCCCGGAAATCATCTGAGACCATCTGTCCTGATCGCTTCTGTGGGCCGCCACAGCACAGCAAAGACCGGGGGGGAGGAAGAGGGAGGGAGGGGAGGAGTTGACAAGGATGAGAAGACAGCGATGGAAAGGAAAGGAGCCGAGGGAAGGAGGAGTGATGAACAGAAATACAGATAGAGAAAGTGTGTGATGTTTGGGGAGGTGAAAAAAAGATAAAAGCACAAACAGTTAACAGCGAAAGTCTCAGAGCAAACTGAAACCTGACAGACAGACGGACGAGGGGCGGGGTCTGCTCAGAGAGTGAGAGGGAGCCTGGTCGAGCTGAAGCAGCACAAAGCAACAGAGACCCCCGGTGGACAAACAGAGACACCTCACTGCTCTCCATGCCGACGGACTGAACCCTGACTGACCTCGGAGCTTATCGAGAGCCTCGAGCAGGAGCGCGGACTGATCACTCAACCGGTCTTATAACAACTGGCTTCACAACAGAATATTCAGTACCAAGTTTGTCATATTAGCATCATCAATAATCTAAATACAGCAGGGTAATGGCTGCTGTGCATGCAGGAAGGCACCGAATATTTCTAGCATACATTCAGACAGAGTTAATGTCCTCCTGGTTGTCTTTTGGCAAAGTGGAGATTTCTTTTAAGACTGAACTGAACTATTTTGCCTGGGAATTGTTTTTCTTATCTGAAAACCGGTAACCCCATTTCATCTACAACACAGCTGTTTTGTCTTTCTTCTGAAAACAGAGATTTCACGAGATCTTAATCTCAACGAGCCTGCCTCATTAAATAAAGATTCATTTTCTTGTTTCCATTTGAAGGCTGCGTTCAAGGTGAATTTAGAGACAAATTCAAATTGAGGTGGAACAAACTGTTAAAGATGTAGCCAGAAACAGCCTACATGAATTAAAGTTTAACTGTAATAAATAACACAATCTTTATAAGAAAGTCCACTTCTTCCAGGTGATATTTTACATTTTTAAACACCTTCCTGAACACATTTTTCATTTAAATGGCCAAAACCAGGTGCTAAAATGATTTGTAAATTATTAAATATATATAATATTAAACATTTGTAACTGATACATGATTTAAAGTTACTGTCTGTTGAAGATGTCTGACTTTGGCGCCCCACAGTGGAAGCAGCAAGGCATTTTCTACATCATCCATGTAAGAGATTGAACAATCAATACAGTAGCTGATGGTTTATATATCAATATAAATCTCAGTAGCTTTAGGCAGATTGTGACAGGCTGACTGTGACTGGCAGTGATCTCGGCTCTGCTCTCCTGCTCAGAGGCCTGACAAACACCACCTTTCCCTCCGTGCTGTCCTGGAGCTCCTACCTGCTTGTCGTTCTCCACATCGTAGCCCAGACTGATCAAACAGGCCTTGAACTCCTCGGCCATCAGGGCCCCGCTGTGGTCCTGAGATCGGCCAAACACCAAATGACAGAGCGCCACGTCACGAAGATGAAACGATCGCAACACAGGGGACGGTGGCGGATGGTGACCATGCGATCCACAGCATGCAAGGAGATGAAGACATGGAGGATGGAGGGACAGACAGACAGACAGACAGACAATTCACGGATGTTTAGACAATGTAAACACACACAGCTCAACAGGTGGCCTTGAAGGACCCGGAAAGACCCTACACACTAAAAACAATCTGCGTATGAGGCAACACATCTCGAGTTATTTAGGACAATGCATTCAAATGTGTTTTCAGAAACATTTGCATTAAATTAAACTCTAGTTTTTCTGATCAATAACACAGAAGGTTAATACATCCAGCCTTTCAACACTGGCTCCACATGAATATTTCTGAAAGCTGAAACATTCAAGCACCAAATATCTCCACTCCCATCTGTAGTGCAGAGGTGCAACGATCGACTGAATCATATTGACATTTTCTTTTAACAAAAAAGGTCCAAATTCTCTGATTTCAACTCGAATATTTTCTGGTTTCTTTAGTGCTCAGTGACAGGAAACTGAATATCTTTGGGCAAAACAAGACATAATGTAACATGTGAAGATTTTCAAAAGGTTCTAGTGTTGTAAATGAACACAAGATGTGTTGCACTGCTGTGATAAAAGACCTTTGAGTGAACACACACAGCTGGATGGGTGAGAGACCACAGGGATGAGGGACAGAGTCCTGGAGTGTTTATGAAGCACTGTCAGACAATAGCATGAATCAGTGACACACAGTGACACACACACACACACACACAGTGGTGTGATATGGTGAGCGGTGATGGTGTCCGTCTCATCCTTATGAGGTTCAAGAGCTCTTAATGATCAGGTCTGACTGACAGCGAGCACAACACACAGACGTTTGGAGACACATTGTGCTTTTTACATCCAACGAAGCATCAGTCGTCCTAAACTACAAATAAAATGTTCTGACTGCCGTTAACATGAAGATGAATTAATATTCAGATCACAGTGTGAGTTTGCATAACCAGGGGACATTTCTCACTGAAAAACATTGTGCAGGCAAAGCACAACCTACCTAACCTACAACAGATTTAAAAAAAAAAATACTGTATTCATCATCTTTCAGCTGACTTTAACTAACAATTACAGTTTGTTCTGAATCATGTAGTCATTCTCAGCTCTCAGCTAAAATAAAAGTCAGTCACCAGTAGCGCCTGTATACACCGATATGCTCTCTGCTCTGCTAACACCTGAACACCTCCCAACATGTGCTCGCCTGTGGAAAACAGCATGATGAATACTCACACGTTTGGCTCCTCTCTCACCCCCTTGTAAGGTCTAAACATTCATTCAGTCATGTTATACATCAGTGCAGAAACAATCAAATAATTTACAACAGTAATACTATATAAACCAACGTATACTGTATATGCCATGAATAACAAAAGTATTTGGGTTGAGCACTAAAGGTGGTTATGGTGCATATGTTGGCACGTATCTGTGCATTTACTGAAGAAGTGACAAGTGTAACTAAATATGTACTGCTCTATGCCAGGTTTATGCTGTATGTAATGGTAAAAAACACAGTGTGCTTCTGACTTTAATATAAAACTATAATATAAAACATTTAGTGAACTAAAACAAAAACTAACTGAAATTGTATTGTGTACTTATCGCATTGGTGGTTTATTGAGACTGGGACTGAGTTAACTGCCTGAACTGAGACCTAAAATTTTAAACTAAATAAACATAAAACCTATAAACTATAATAAGTCTACTTAGCTCCCAACCCAAGCACTGATAGTCCTGACAGCAACTTGTGACATAGTCAGTATAAAAAGTACACAGCCAGTGTAACAAACAAGCCGTGAGCGCAGAGCTCGGGCCCCTGACCTTGTCAAAGTGGTTGAAGGAGGCGCGGTACTCCTGGAGCTGCTCCTGGCTAATGCCCTTAGCGTCACGTGTCAGGATCTGGTTCTCCACCTCGTTGATGGTTCTGGCTATGGTGGTCAGCAGCTGCTCCCAACCCACACGGAGGTGCTGCAGGGAGGGAAAGCGGGGACACAGAGAGGAGGAAGCGAGGGAGACGGGGAATGAAAGAGAAAAAAAGAGAGGCATGGGAGGAAACGTGTTACACAGCGTCTTCCAGTACAGAGAAAGCATTCTGACAGGATTAATTCCATGTGCTTGTTCATAAAACAATCTTTGTGTTGTAATTCTCAACAGAACTTATAGAAAGGACTTTTGTACACACTCAGTTCCTAATTGTCTTTAAAAGGCTATCTTCTGTCCAACATGTAGCTAGAACCAAAAATAAAATAAATGTAGGACTTCATGAACTTTATTGGACTTGCACACATTGATTTTTGTCTGTGGCACTGAATTGTTTTTTGGGCATTACCAGTAAAAATGCTTAAGGCGTGTGTGTTACCTCCATTGTGTAGGAAGTGTACTGGTTGTCGAAGATGAGGGCCTCCTGGATGAGCTGGTGGTATCCCTCCAGCGTGTTAATTTCGGGCATGTAAGACATGATGGTCTTCTGGTACTCCCTCAGGTTGGTCAGCTGGTCCTCCAGAGTGCCGTTCATCTCAATGGATATCCTGCCGATTTCCTGCCAAACGCAAACACACAGTGTTTACCCTCCTGTTAATCCTACAAGTGTACTTTATACATTTCAGAAACAAGTACAGGGTTTATAAAAGTATATATTAAGTACATATTTAAGAAGATGATTGATGATGATCTGATTATCGGATTTTAGACTTTTTTCAGACTCCAGACACACTGCAAGCATCACAGTGTGAAACCTTTAGAAGACTCTCTGAAGTAAGCCTTAACACAGCAGAGTGACGATCCTAAACTAGTGATCATGAATGAACATAGCGATTAAAATATAAAAAGGCTGAATTAGAAACCAGCACAAATGAGTTCACCTATCTGAAACTCTGAAGCAGATTTGTGTCATTCCACACTGAGAGCATGAACATTCCCACCATCAAAGCTCCTAAACCCCGTCGACTCTATGAGCTCATTGTTTTACAATGTTGGCCTGAAAACTGTGACAAACTATACACAGCTGTGCAAAGATTAACCGCTTCAACACAATGGTGACCACTTGGACTGCGCGGGATAATCCATTACCTCCATTTTGGCCTGTATATAGGCGCCGACTGTGTTGGCCTGAGTGGCGAACTTGGCTCTCAGTGTGTCGTTGGAGTTCTGCTTGTTAAGCTCATCCTGCAGGGCGTTGTCACGCAGTGGCACCATGTCCATCGCCTGCAAAACACACACACAGACACACACAAAGACATTAGCAACACACACACAACTGTAACAGAAAGCACCTGTAGCTGCACCCACACATACAAAGCACCAGCTGGAGAAAGTCATTAAATAATTTGGCCTCCAGACACAAAGTCAGGCTCCTCAGCTTGTAGATGAAAGCATCTTTGCTCCAATTCAATCAATCATTATATTTATGATTTCTAATGCATCAAGCACACACACTACACAAACTTGAGGGGGAAGTAAGCTAGACCCCACAGCCCCTATTATCATCAGAAAGCACAGGCTGCTGCCTACCTTTTCCCACTTGTTGTCGATGCTCTCGGGTGTGATGGTGGTGTAGGGGTTGGCTCCACTCAGCTTGATGCCGTTGCTCTGGGCGATCTTCTGCACCTCAGCCTGGATGGCCTGGATGGCCTCCCGCTCCTTGTTGGCCTCCGCCAGGGTAGACTTGAACTGCTCGTGGGCTGTGATCAGACCCTGAGGAAGGACAAGATATGTTGGTTTTACTTCCACCAGACAGAAACTATAACGAAAATCAATCATATGTCAGATATAGTTTATAACCTTTCTATTAAATACATGTTAATTTGCCTCATTGTACACAAAGCTCACAGTTCTGTGTATTTCTGTGTCTGTTTCTATGATTAGTGCACCTATCTCGACCACGCTCCCATACTGCCCCGTTTCCAGTCACCTGGATCTCCTCTATGTTGTGGACGATGAACATGTCCTGCAGGTCCTCCATAGCACCCTCCATCCAGTTGTTGAAGGGTGCCGCTCTCTTGGCGTACTCCAGGTAAAGCTCATCTATCGACTCCAACTGCTTCTCTGTCCTCTGTTGAGAAGAAAACAGAAAGAAAAGTGGTTTATTTAAAGAAACTTCACTGAATTACTCAAAGGAATTTAAATGTGTGGATGTTAATATTTGACAGACATGAGGGCCAGGTATCTTTACAAATGTTTTTACAGTTGACGTTTTTCTACTGATTCCTTCATTATATTTAAATACACAAAAAAGCCAGACTTGACAAATGTTAAGTCTTCATTTTAGACAAGCTGGTGTGCGACATTTTTGGAAAAATAAAATGATTAACCTTTAAATTATGAGATAAATCTGATCTAAGTGGCATTTCTGTATTCGGTTGTGTGTTGCCAAATTGTTGAAGATCTTTTCTTAATTTGTGTTTTGTCTATTTGCATTTGTTTGAGCTCTCAGGGCCACCGTAGTTAGGGTTCACAAAGTAACATCAGTTACAAACATGTACTGCAACCAGACCACTGGACTGCATCAGTGAGAACTGATCTTACAATGTGAGGTACATTATTTCATCAGCATCTGAGCAGAGACCCCGGTATCAGTACCGTACCTCCAGTGACTCTTTGCGGCTCTGGGTGAGGGCTCCCAGGACGTCCCACTGATCACAGATCTTCTGACAGCGAGCGTTGACGCTGGCGGAGTCGTAGTAGTCCAGCTCGCTGGAAAAGACAATGGAAGAGAGCAGAGTTTGTAGCCGAGGCTCAGATAAATGATTCAGTAAGTGTAGAGTACTTCTTATGATCTCATGCTCCTTTTCTTTACTTGAGCTCCTGTGCAATGGCGGCGATCTGCTCCACTCTGTCCTGATGGGCTGCCAGGTCGCTCTCAAAGGCCTCGTGTTTCCGTAGCAACGCCTTGACTTCTGACAGGGTGGAGGTCTCGTAGTCTTTCTGGGTCAGCATGGCCTCCTTACCTACACACACATAAAATCCATTCAATCACTTAACCTTTCAGAAGAATAACCTTTCAGCGTCTCTATGATTCACCATGATGACTAAACACAGCGGTGGACTCGAGAAAACAGTGGCAGATTTGTTCTTTGAGTAATGAACTTGAAATTGAGGCATGATTCAACTTGATACCACAAAAGCAATTCCATATGTTGTTCATCCAGTGTGAGTATGTGTGTGTGTGTGTGTGTGTGTGTGTGTGTGTGATGAAACATCTACACACCATCGGTCCAGGATTCGTGGATGGCAGCCTTCTGGTGGAACTTCTCTGCCAGGTGCTCCAGTCTCTCCAGACGTCTGATCTCGCTGAGGATCCACTCCTCGTAGCCTTTTTCTGCTCCTTCCAGAGTGTGCCACGCTCCGTTGATATCCTGAGAGCAAACAGCAGGAATTACTGATGTGAATCCATAACTGCAGAGTACAGTATAGCACCTGTTTCTTTGCCTGTGTAGTTCACATAGAGCAGAATAACCTCCTCTTCTCACTGCATACTTACAGAAACCATGCGTCCCTCTGATGGCATGAAGGCAGGTCTGTTGCTGAGTCTCAGTTTAGTCTGCAGAGTGTTGAAGCTGATCTCCAGCTGACATTTCTCTTGGACCTGAATGACAAAAACAAGTGGAAACAAAAGCACTTAGTACATGGTCGGGACATAGATCCTCAGCTAGCTCACGGCAACACAAGAATTTAAAAACTCTTCTCATGTTGCTCTGCACAGAAAGCTTTGCAGCAGTGATTCCAAACCTTGGGTGGTTTGTGGACACAGCGGTAGTCTCTGAAGTCCTCCTGCTTCGCCTGCATATCCTGTACGGTCTTCTCCTGGGTTCGGTTCTCCAGCCAGGGGATGGTGCGACGGATCCACTCCAGCAGCTGAAGGCAGAGAGGAAGACGAGGAGGGAACAATCAGCTCAATGATAAGATAATGTCAGGTCTGGTAAATATGTGGAACGTCAGGGACCTGAACTGAAGAGGTCCAATCAGTCCAGGTGTAAACATGCTGAATCTCACCTCACTAGCCAGTTTCTCATAGTCCTCCATCATTTGCTCGTTCTCCTGGTTGACAGCCAGCACTTTGCAGATACGATTTGCGGCTGTCTCAGCCTATCAGGAAACAGAGTGATGAGTGGCGCTCACAGGGATTGTTTAAAGCACGGTGGCATCAAGTCCACTCACTGTGCCCAAAGCTTAGTGAGAGCATTCACTGTAGCTTCATTTAAAAACAGGATGCTGCACTTTAAAGTCACTACAGCAAACATATGCAAGTGTCTGTTTGATTAGTAACTCAATCTGGGCTTTTTTTACAATAATAATATTATTAATAATAATAATGATAATAATTATGAGGTTTTGCTCTCAAATATGTGCGAACACACTCCACACACAGGCAGTGAATAGGAATAAATCCAAACACTATGTCAGGCACACATTTTTAAATAAGTGCAAAGACAAAAACTGTAATGAATGTAAGTCAGATGAGGGTTACATCTGACTGATAAAAACATGCTTAAGCTATTGGTGGTTAGTTCAGTGTGCCAAAACCAATCTGTGTGTTTTAAAGCTCCATGCGTCTCCCGTCACAACTCAGGAGTCAGTCCATACATCTAGTTACTGGTTCATGTAGCGCTGTAGTCCACATCAGTAGGCCTAGGACATTACACTACTGTACCACTGGAATAACAAACACAGTACATTTGACAATTTGATACGTTCTGTACAACAAACATCCCCTTATAATTCATTCTATCATAAATAGCTGAGATGCTTCTCCTCTTTGAAAGCATTTTTCATCGTTTGAGTTAAATTCTTTTACTTTTAATTCTAAACTAATAATACTAATACTAATGATAACTGTATTACTTTAAACTAACATATCGCATACATATAAATCACATATTATACAACAAGCATTTAGAGTTGAGAAGTGTTAATAGCTGAAGAGAAACTGAAGAGACATCAACAAGTGTTTCCCACAGTAATAAACCCAAACCGGTCCGGTTTCCCAAAACCACATCAGTAGAGTACAGACGATCACAGGACTTATATTAGTTTGGGAATTTAAGTCCGGACCATAAACCCTTTTAGGGAAACACAGTCAATGTCCAAAGCACCGAAACAGAAGCATCAGAAAGCGTTTGTTGTTGTTTGTTTGGTAGTTTGTCCAGAGTTCCCATCATGGTCCTAATCTGTAAATATTTCCTTCCTTTTCCTAAAACTGTATTAGAGAGAATCAATGAAACTGTAAAAATGACTTCCTCTACAGTTGTTGAAACATTCCAGTATATATTCCTGTGATCTGACCCATTTTCTGATACTAGCTGATGTTTACTACCACCCTGTCTTTTCATTGTCTGGAGTAAACCTATCGTGGCTGATGGAAACCCTGGTGGCTGTTGATTGGTTTTTTGCTGCAGTGAAATGTTAATGTGAGTCTGGAGCGTGAGGAGCTCACCTTCTGTGCGCCAGAGAAGGCGTGATAGAAGCAGGATACATAGGTCATTATGGCCTTCTCATCCGGCCTCAGCGTACCAACGATGTCTACGTATCACCCAGCACCCAGCAGGACAGAGCGAGGTTGACAAAGTATGGTGAACAGACAGAGAGAGAGAGAGAGAGGCAGAGTGAAGCCAAAGCTACCCAAAGCTACATGGTCCTTGCTCCCTACAGGATGTGAGAACAAGGGAAGGAGGGTGAGGAGACACCGTCTCCCCTCTTCAGTTCCACAGCTTCAGTTCCTCCTATTACCGCCGCCACCATCCCCACACTGACGCCAGGAGGTGGGACGTCAGGGGGGGAGGAGGAGAGGAGGACAAGTGTCCTCTTGAAGAGAGCTGAGGGACACAAGTTCAAGGCTGGGACACAAACACACATCAGCTGCTAAATCGAGCCTCATTGAGTCTGTCAAGGCAAATTCATTTAAAGCACTTTATTCAAAGTCTGAAGAAGGTTGTTTCTTTAGTTTGCTTCATTTAGCCAATTAGAATGACGTTAATAACAATCAGCCGGCAACAAATAACTGCACTGAGGTCTGAAACTACCGGTCTTTGTCCTCTGAGGATGCAGCTTCTTAGCATGGAGAACAGACTATGAAACAATTGCAAAATGCAAATGCAATTTACAAAAGAAAATCAATCATTTTGATGACTGACTAATAAATAATGGCTTATCCAGCTAAAACAACAAACAAATGGTTTGAGAAACCAACACACCAGGTGATGTATAAAGTGCTTTACGTGTACCGCATTAAGTGTGATTTTTGTGATTTGTGGTGAATGAAGTATCATGCTGGCAAAAGCAGTAAATCTGGATATTCAAGAGTTTGTTTCTAATCATTACAAATACAAACATCCTCTGTAGTTACTGACTCCATGTACATTATTCAAAAACTAGACAGAGAACAAGCTGCACAGCCACACAGACACACACGCGCACACACACACACACACACACACACACACACACACACACACACGCACACAGACACACACACACGGCGCACACAGACACACGCACACACAGACACACACAGACACACACACACACACTCGCACTCATGCCCAGATCTGTGTCTATTTGTCTCACACACACATGATCAACAACGCTAATACACACTCTCCTCTCCTGAGACTGCAGAGGAACACAAACAAGTTCTGAACAGGCCAGAAAATTAATTAGAGGAAGAGGAGCAAAAACAAGAGACGCATCGACTGGCTTCCTGTCAGAGGCCTACAGGGAGAGCAGAGGGGTGAGGAGAGGGGAGGAAAATTCAGCTCATAGAATCAGTTACAGGCTGCACATGCCCAGAGTTCGTTATCTTTAGATCCTCTGAAATGGACTGTAACCTACAAACTACCCACTTAACCTACAAACATCTGCATCGGCACAGTACAAACACTGCTTTCACCTGAGCTATAAAGACAACATAGATGTCCCGAGGATGGGCAGACACTGTCGTTAACACTGATTCAATCACTGAATAACATCTCAAATGTTTTATGAATAACCCAATTGTTCTAAGACGGCATTACCAAGAAGCTCAGCTGCAGTCTACAGACTCATCCCAAAACCACAGCGGGCAGAATATTTCCTGCTTTCACCAGCACAGTTACATTCCCTCTACTGTGTCTGTATGTGTGTGTGTGTGTGTGTGTGTGTGTGTGTGTGTGTGTGTGTGTGTGTGTGTGTGTGTGTTTGTGTCCCAACAAATCCAGTGTCCTCGCTGTGTCCCGAGGGGTTTAGCAGCGCTGTCGAGAGAGTGAGGCCATGCTGGACAGGAAGCAACACCTTGTTAGTAACGGGGGGGGTTAAAGGTGAAGGTTGGGGTGGGGGGGTCAGAGGGTACCTTCTGTGCTCCAGAGAAGGCATGGTAGAAACTGGACACATAAGTCATTATGGCTTTCTCATCTGGACGAGCAGTGTTCACAATGTCTATATGGAGGGTGGGGAAGACCGTGGTTATGAGGACACACACGCAGGCATACAGGCATGACAGAGGACACGTAATTACAGACAACACGAACCAACGTACATATTAAACAGGCTGGCAAAACAGAGACACACATTCAACAAGCTGCTGTAGCTGTTAACAGCCAGACAGGACGATCAAAACGTGATTCACAGGCAAACAGAACAGGCACAAATACAACGGACAGACACAGAATTAACATCACAGTACATACAAAGGGTCAGACCTATACAGCAGTTCACTACAGACTGCCAGTAAACGTTTAAATTAAATTGGAAAATGAAGTTTGTGTGTGTATATTATCATTCTTTTTTGTTACTTGGGAAACTAAAAATCTAAATATCGGCCTCAGCTCTCAGTGCTCATACTGGTCGACCCTTTCCACATACAGACAGACATTCAGACAGTTACATCTGAGCATAAGAGGAGACAGAGGAGGAGGAACAATGAACTGAAGGGGAGGGAGGGAGGGAGGCGCCATCGATCCTCTCATCTGCTGTAACAGCTCATAAAACAGGTACAACAGTGGAGATCAGTGGCCACATTCACATGCACATAAACACTGTGACTGTAATGGAAGCGAGGCGATAATTAAATTCAGTTAGGACACGCCGTACTGTACTCTGACCAGGAGCACAGTAACATCAGAGCACAGCTGCAGTCATATGTACAGCAGGTGCTCTGATCTGATTGGCTGTTACAGACATCAGAACGTATTTACATCTGTGCGGCAATCTGTAGGTCAGTTTGTGGTCGGCTCATCTCGGCCATCGGACTTTAGACTTAAGACATAGACATAGTCACATTGGGACCTGCAAACACACACTGTGCATTAAATAGGGATGTAAAATATTTGAGTATTGCAATATTTTGTTTTATGACATTCAGTGTTGTAACTGAGGGCTATGACGTTGGTTGTTAGATACAAATGCAGATCCCACTGTTTTCTATTGGATTACAGTATCGCAGTATATAGAATTGTAAACTGTATCGTCCTATCGTATCGCCAGATTCTTGCCAATACACAGTGCTACTATGGAACAATGTAATTAGCTGTTCCAGTGTGTTTGAAACACTGTGTTTAACCAATATAAATGAGAATAATACAGGGGTTGTAACATTATGAAATAACTCAAGAAGCTCATTTAGACAACTGCCCACGTACATTATGGGTAACAGTCACCCTGCTGTGCATGTAAACACAGCCATTTACTGAAAACAGTGAGTGTACATATAGTAGATTATAGTACATACACACACAGGACAATGTGATCATAATAGTAATAAAAACAACAACAACAACAATAATAATAATAATAATAATACAGTATAATTCACAAACACAGCCTACCTTCTGCGTCCAACATCTTGGGGATGTCCAGGTGCTTCTCAGCCACCTCAAAGGCATTGTTCAGGTTGGTCACTGGGTCATCCTAAACAACCAATCACAGCAGAGGAAGACAACAAACTTACTAATTTGAATTTTATTATTTTATTTTTGTTGAAACTCGACGGCTAGTTTGCATCAAAAAATACAAAAACTATAAATTAGGACTGAGTTGGAACAGAAACTGTGAAATGTAATGTTTAAGTCTCGGTGTAGTGAGTGTGTAGTGAGTGTGTGTGTGAGTACCTTTCTGAGGCTGTCGTAATCGATGAGATCCGGTCTGTGTCTGTGGATCAGAGCGTTGAAGGCGAGACCGTCCTTCCAGCTGTTAGACAGAGAGAACAGATGAGTGGAAGGTGGAGGGGGGGCTGCCACTATCATCACCTTTTCATTGTGACTCTAATTAAATGTATGAACTACTTTGTAGCAGAAAAACACACCTCTGAAGTCACTGAACTGAGAATTAGGAAGTCACAATAAGATCACATCAGAAAACTATTGCAAGTGAGAAATGTATTCTTCACCTTCAAGATGGTGACAAAATATCTAATTCTAGATATTTTCTAGATGAGTTTGCTTTGATCTTAAGGTAAAATGCTGAAAATAAAAAGGGTTTGTATAGAACTTGTACTTTGTATGTGCTGTATACATCTACACAGAGCAGGGAAACATGTTCCAGTTCCTCCAACAGGGGGCGACCTGTCTACACAATTACAGCACTTAATTTCAGGAGTATTTTATATTCCTGGACAGCACTGAGCTTCCATCCAGCATTAATCAGTATTAGTTCATGGTGACATAAACCACTCATATACCAGCAGATTTGCTCCAGCTGCTCCATGACAACTGAGAAGAAGCCTGTTTTTTTAAATATTGCCCCGTTGTGTCGTCCAGCTCTGATATCACGAAAGTCCCTTGCAAACTGCTCTTTACATCAGGGTTTCACTGGAGAGTTTTACTGTCCCACGAGAACCTAAAAGTTCTTTTAGAGGATTTTGAATTCTGGTGGAAAAGCTGAATATCTATAATTTACTGATAACCTTTTGATCTTTAAATGTGTCAACAGCTTTCATCCAAGAATAACTCTAATGGCCCTTAAACAACTGAGATCAGTCTAATCTTAAAGAGTGTGTGTGTGTGTGTGTGTGTGTGTGTGTGTGTGTGTGTGTGTGTGTGTGTGTGTGTGTGTGTGTGTGTGTGTGTTACCTAATGTGGAAGTTCTGCACATTGACATTCTTGTAGGGAGCGGTCTTCCTCTGGCACCACAAGAGAAGACCCTCCTTCGCAGAGGTCTCTGCAACGAGGAAAACGAAGGAGGAGGAGAAGAGAACAAACAGAGGAGAAAAGAGGAGCAGTAGGAGAGAAAGAAAAGGAGGAGTGTTTTGAAAGTTGTGAAGAAATGATCTTCATTACATTCAACCAAGTACATTTTATTCCATTAAGGTACACTGCAGGCTGTTTATGAGTGTGTTAAATATGAACTGCTTCAGAACAAGGATGTTTTTGTTTACTGCAGGAGCCGAACAACGTCAGAAAAATATCAGCCACTTATATGGAGAATAGAAAATATATGACTCAATATGCCTTATCGCGGCCCACACCCACCAGAGTTAATTCAGCACAGACAGTTTGAATTAGCCGCCACAGAGTCGTTAGAGCTCTGAGGAATAATGATCCAGTCAACTTTTATGGAGCAAAGTAAATGCAAACGTCAAAAACATTTCACAAAGAGGAAGTGCTGTAGTGTATCTGTATATCTGTATATTGTCATTGTAATGTCTCTGCTTCCTGCCTATAGACTAATGGTGTAAATTAGCATTGTTTGCATATTTTCATTACCTGGTTTCTTGCATAAGCAGGTAATAATAATCATAATAGAAGCAGGTGTAACGCTGTTCTTAGCAGCGCTAGAGTAGTTTCACATCATCGTCAGTCTTAGTGAGCAGTCCTGCAGACCAGACCTGTTTTATCTTGGCTGGATCCCATCACCACTCACTGCCCTGTGTGTGTGTCTCTAGCCGTGTTACTTCCACTCTAGTTCCCACAATGCATCCTCAGCTGGCACATCTGCGCGTGCGTGCAAGCACCAAAGATTCCTGCAGGTCTTGGTGAGCTAATTACGTTGAGCCGTCGCAGTGGCACTTCTCTGCCAAGCTGCTGCTGATCTTGACCGTGTTTATGCAAATGAAAGCGCAGGAAGCTGTACCTTCTACAGAGATGTCCTGGATGGCGAAACGGAGGATGATGGTCCAGATCATACCCAGGGTCATCTTGGCATTTCCATCCACGATTTCTGCACAACAACAAAAAAAAACCAAACCTCAATCAAGATTCGCTCTGGACCATAAATCTTGTTTTTACAATATTACATCTGCTCTTCTATCTAATAATGCCAACACACCCACACACAACTGCACTTAATGTCCCACAGCTGCCAAATCTCCAGTTTTACCCTGGAAGTGTGATACTTTAACAATGATTTATTTCATAAAATAAATTTGATCTTGGTAGATATAAAATGCAGTCAGATGGTTCCTGAAACACAATTGTTCTGTCCACTGTAAGAGACCCTTATTGGGATTTCATCATTTGAAAGGAGCACATTACGTTCCAGCCAAAACATGAAAGCAGTGTGTGGACTGACTTTATGCCCTGTGAGGGTGCGTGCTGTGAAAACAGTATTTACTTTATTTCTAACTTCATCTAATGACATGAACAGATTCATCCGGCACTGGCACACATCTACAGGCTGGAACATCGAAACTTGAGTTCTCAAAAATCATTATCTCTCTTTTCCCACCGGGATCCAAATATGTTTGGCGGGTTAATGAACACACGCAGAACAGTAAGTCATGTGCAATGATATGTTAGTGAGAAGGCATGTGGTGTGGGTCAGATTCCACTCATAGTTCAAACAGTCCTTTCATACTTTCACCTGCTTCATCTTCCAGTTCACTCACTCTCACTGTCAGCTGTCACCTGTGAATCTGTCCCACATCGCTTTCATTCCAACATTCTCCTCCAGTTTCTATTCCGCTTTATTCACTTCGACGTCACATTTTAAAAACACTGATAAATCACTCGCTCTCTTGGCAAAGAGATCTTAATCTCAGTGAGATTAAACACAGATGAAAAAGAAAGAAAGAAATATATCACTGTCAAATGTATTGTTTGGTTATTTTGATTTTGATTAAAGCTACATCCTTTCTGTTCTGGTAATTAGCAAGAGTCTCTCCATTGTGTGTGACCACCAACAGGCCTCACCAACCCCAGACTTTAACTTATTACAGAAGGGTTGAAGTCCCTGCAGACTGAGGCGGCCTGGGAACCACAATGTGTCGGTTCAAACAACCTCTGACAGGAAAAAGTGTAGGATGTCCTCCTCTCTCATCTCGTCATCACCATGCCTCAATTTCTACCTCTTCAGTCTACTGTGTCGGCATTATTCTCTTTGTCTGTTTCCAGTAGATGACCTTTAGTGGGCTGTTTTTATGGAGGCCAGAAAGTGTGTGTGTGTGTGTGTGTGTGTGTGTGTGTTCACAATGTGCAGAGCGGGTGCAGGACTGCAGTACTTTGGACAATTTTGTGTTCAAAGGTCTTCAGTATCTGCTGCAGGAATGTCACGTTTGTCCTGATCGAGTGGGAGAAAGGTCACTGTCCTCCAGCTGACCCTGACACACACATAGCCGCTGCTCAGTGTGATATAGTCGCCCAGTACTGGACCTCTGTCCTCAATCAGCAGGAGGCAAACAGGGAGGCATCTCATTGCTGTTTCACCTTCTACATCTGATGGGCAAACTGAATGACGTCTTTTTATTCAGAGTAGTATAAACCTAATGCCCCAAAAGTTATGAAACAAAGTTAATTAAGAAACAATGAAATGAAGATATGTGCTTTTACTGTCCATAAATCAGGGTTTGTGCAAGTTGAATTTAAGAACTTTTTTAAAGACCATTGTGATTGCAACTGAAGACCAATTTCCACCCTGATGAATAAACACAACATTTCTGCAGACCTGCATGCTGTCAATTTGTGCTGAGCAATATGTATTAGTTTTAACTCTTCAGGTTACCCTGCGCTCCAAAGGCATGGACGGATGGAATAGGCCTGAGACACATGTTTCTATGCTTTCTTTACTAGTTTTACTGCATTTAATGAAGCCTCAGTATGCTGAGCAGCTGTCATATGAAGGAAAAACAAACAAAAAACATATTGGATTTGGTTGGCAGATACTCAATATCCAAAAGACATTACAGACTGATCATGAGCAAAAAAGATAACAACAACAATAATCAGGACATCTTCTAACTGAACTCTGCAACTTTCTATGTGGAGGCTTTGGCCCGGGGGCCCTGTGATCCATCCAAAGGTCATTTACTGTGGGTGTGGATTTTACACTCGCAACCAAGTATGAAAACTTTAAGAAGGATTAAGATGGATGATGGCAGTTTCCACAGCGAGGTCTATGGGAGTTCATGAGGAAGAGTTTTCATTTCACTCATTCAGTTCTAGCACATCAGGTGGATGTGTTTGGTGTCTGTTTGGGGGTCTGTGATAAATGTGTGCATGCTTACCCTCTGCTCCAATAGAGACCAGTTTGACTCCCTTGCTGGCGATGAAGTCCAGGGCTTTGTTCACATTGTTGATCTTGTGGACCCTCATCTTGCCTCGCTCAGGCTTGGGTAACCGTTCGCCTGCAGATATAAACACACACACACACACATTAGCTCCTGCGGTGACGAGAGCTGTGCATGTTTCCACAGGCTCAGCAGAACGACGCTCAGTCAGGACGTTTAAAGTTACAGCGGGGACGTTCATGTCGCTCACAGCAGAAAAAACTGAAGTGAATGTGAAAAAGGAAGCCACATGCAAGTCCAAATTTCATTACGGGCTGACAGCAGCTCAAATGATTCTCTACTATGCCAACAGAACAGTTTCCCTGCTACAACCTGCAATTAAACACAAGAAACCTCAAGAGGAACGCTGTCATACGCTAGCGACAGATAAAAGCAGGGTGTTCCCGATGTTTTTTTAAGTGCTTGCGACCCAGCTGAGGTTGGAAGCTGTGAGCGACCACACCCTGGATTGGACAGAGATGTTGTGCATCTTTAACATCTAGAAAACAGTTTGGATTGACAGCTCAGAAAGCTTTGAAAGCGAGGCCACTGCTCAGTGACATACGAGTGTGTTTGTGTGTGGTGGGCTGGACGGCTTACCCTGCGGCTTCTGTGTGAGACATCTCAAATCATTAATGGGGTATCATTAAAGCCTTTTTACTTTAATTAAAAGCCTTCCTGCTGAGCCCGATCTCCCGTTGACCCCTGTGGTTTAAGGTCGCACAGATGAGTTACCTGAGATGACCTCTAGCAGCAGCATGAGTTTGAGTCCGTCCCTGAAGTCCTCCTCGATGTTTTCGATCTGCGTGCCAGCCTTCCGCAGGTGGGAGTTACACCATGCTGTGAACGTCTGCACGAGAGCACAGAAACAGGAGACAAACAGAGATTATTCAGAGCCCGGGTCTCGGTGTTTTTCCAGATTTTATGACAATAAACCACTTTGAGTTGAGAATAAAAGAAAATGGAATTCAATGGAGAGGAAGGGAGGTCGGGGAGTTGCTTTGATAAGACAGGAAGTAGCAGAAGAAAAGGGGAGAGGACAGGTTACGATGTTATGTTACGATACAGTACCAATGGTAACTGGCAACAATCTCAAAGAACAACTTAAACTATATGTCACAAAGATGAAATGTGTTTTTGGAAGATAAAAACTAATTCACACTTTGGATAATATAGTATAGTTAACACCCACCGTCTACGACAGCTGTGCATTGTACTAAAAAAAAACATCATCGGGATTCTCTCTACATATTTTTCTGTCATTTTGTCGTCAAATTCTTGTCACTCAAGCTCTGAAATCATTTCAACCCTGAACATAAAAACAGGGGGCTCAGTCCCAATATAAAAAACAAACAAACAAACAAAACAACGCTGTCCTGTCGAGCCCGAAGCTACAGGTGTGTCCCAAATATTACAGAAACATCACTACTGAGCTGGAAAACCTGACAAACAGACCCCCCTCTACCATATATCAGGATGGTGTACCAAAGACAAACACAGGCATCTGAGAACAGACACACACCAGCACAAATCACACACATCAATAGCTGGTTGGAAACCATGTTTTTGTGCTTGTGGTTAGCCGACATTCTTCAGAAATGTGTTTGGAATTATTTTCATTATGAAGGAGTTTGTGGCGCTGAGGTAGGCACGGGACTGTGCGAGGCTGACTACGTGCTCTGTCACGCCACTCTTCAAAACGCTCCGTTATGGCACATCATCAGTCAACATGTCAAAACAAAACTCTTTTTTTTTCTGACTTGTTACATAATTTAGGGGAAGCGCCTAAAAATGCCAAGTGACAAAAATACATGTTCAAGATCCGACTTGCACATGCTCAGTGTAGCTCCCGTCACTGGCACTCCTTAAAAAACTCATTCAATGTCCATCATAAGAACATAAAAATGTTCCCACAATGTATTTCTGAAAGCTTTCTAGTTAATAAAACCAACCAGAGGGTTTCAATTAACAAATAACTGAAATGTACACATAGCTTTAAGAGGAAATGATTATGTGAAGGAAAGAGGAAGAAGGTTAAAGAAGTAAATATTTTCCCAGCAGGAACACACAGCTTGAAAATGACAAAGGTAAAACTGACAGTAGCACTGAGACAGCAGTTCTTCACAAAGAAAAACTGATTACAAAATAAGTAATATGTTATATGTTGTATATTCTGCTATCATTGTCAGGTGACTTTGCTGTTGTAAACTTTATATTGCTGCTCCAGACACAATATTTAGCTGTACATAATCCAGTACAGTGCATTTCCCTTGCTAATGTCTGAGTATACTAAAAATACAACCTGTGTCTTTCTTAAAATAAATTTTGTAACGATGATAGTCTAAAACTTCTGTTGTGATGTTTTTATTGGCTCTGGTCTTCATCCAATATAAAAAATTTGATTAAATATCCATATATATGGACTTGGAAAATATAGATGGGACGTGATAATGAGAGTAATCATTTGTAGTTCACTTTGTATTTGATTCCGTTCCGCCAGTCACTGAACGTCTCCTCAGTATTTGGATACAGAAATATTAAAGAAAATATAACTGCAGAAACTGACTGATGTGAATAAGTAGAGTCTCTCTTTTTCTCCCCCTCTCCTCCCCTGTGTGTTCAAAAACATTATGACAGGGTGCTGCTCGCTGCCCTGCCCCTCTCCCCACCGGCCCACCGGCCACCGGCACAAAGCGCCCATTGAGCCTCGTGGATAATAGCACCCTTCAGCCCCCTGTACTCTCCCTCAGCCCGCTCTCGCTCTATGACCCTCCCCCAGACCACCCGATACCATCCCCCAACTATATATATATATATATATATATATATATATATATATATATATATATATATATATATATATATATATATATATATATATATATATATATATCTCTATCTCCCTCTATGAGACTGGACCAGGACACACACAGTGAGGACAGGGAGGAGGGAGGGACAGGAGATACATTTCACATAAACAAACACACAGACAAAGTTAGGGGGCAGGAGGGGGAAAGATAATGCCCCCACTAACACACACACACAGAGTTAACGACAATGCAGCAGGAAGTGGCACTGCAATGACAGGAAGTTCTTAGTTGAGCACAGAGCAAACAATCAGAGTGAAGCTGCATCCATCACTGCCACTGATTCACTGCCAGTGCACCACAGAGCTGGAGCCAGACACGGGTCCGGGGGGGGGGACGCACTCAGTAAGGGATAACTGACAAAGTAAAGTAAAAGTTCCCCAAAAATCTAATTTTCTTTAAAGTTTGAAAGTTCTATCAAATGTACAGGAGCACAGGATGAGCATGTACTGCATGTTCTACCTAAGATGTGTTCATCTGTATATGTAACCAATGAAGCAAATGAGATTTGGTTAGGAAGTGCAAATAAAATTTTATTTTTGTTTTACATTTATTATTCATGCTGTTAGATACAGAGATAGCACTGGGTCAAGGAAGCCCATTTTCCCTGGAGGGAGGGGGGATATGACCAATGAGGGTTTCTGCGTGTTGAGAAAAAGAAAGTTTAGGAATGTGAACTATACAGAGGCTCTACTAAAACTACGAAAGTGGGCTATGTTCCAACAGGACCGCTGCCACTGGGAGTGGTGACGACGAGAGAGAGAGAGAGAGAGAGAGAGAGAGAGAGAGAGAGAGAGAGAGAGAGAGAGAGAGAGAGAGAGAGAGAGAGAGAGAGAACAGAAAACAAACAGCAACAGGTTGAGACCTGCACAGAGCCTGGGGACTTTATGTCCCGTATAACACAGCATGCTCCAGATTGTACAGCGGATACACTTTCATCTGCTCTCTCCAGGGTCAGAGGTTAGACCCCCACGTTGTCAGGCACTCTGCGTCTTGCTCAAGGACACTTCAGCCTGCCTTTATCAGAGCTTGAATGAGGCCCATGCTGAGAGAGAGCTGTCCGTCAGGCTGTTCTGGGGCTGTGACAACGAGGAGGGAAAAAACTTCCGTTCAATTGTGTTCAGTTGGCTTTTTGTATCGGGGAAATGCCTCTGGCTACCTTATGTCATTCAGGGGCAAGGTGTGGTGTTTGAAACGGGCACAGGCATGCACACACAGACTGAACCCTCCTGACTGGACACCGGAGCAAAGTAAGCAGCTGCAACAATCCTGGTTCGAGATTTTCCTCCCACACGTCCTCATCATGCTACATTTCCAGTCAAAACTGTTAGAAAACACATCGATTGAAGTTAATACCCACAGTTCACTGCTTTGCTATCAACATCAGGTACGACCAGGGTCCAAAATGAACATCAGCCAAACGCCAAATGAGGGATTACTAATCAGAGTCAGAGCGTAGGGCTAAGTTTACATCGCTCTGTTTCTTCTGTGTACCAGCTGAAACTAATCTGACCCTCACTGTCCACTGTTTCTACACAATGTCTGTCTGTTTTTGCCATAGGAAAACCTGCGTTATATGTTATCAGATGTGGTGACACATTCCCGATGTTAAGCTGCTAAAAAGAAAACATGGCGGGATCTGAGCGACCTAAATCCTGGCTAAAATAGATAATTATTTATAGCTAATTAATGCATGATGCAGTTTTAACATCTTAACATCACAAGCTTTACTTTGACTCTCTCTTTATGCCCGACCTCAATTTTTAATCAGTAATAGTAGTTTGCGACATTGAAATCAATATCCTTAGATTTAAGAGTCCCTTGGTGAAGTGACCGAATTAAACGTGAACTGGCCATAATCCCGGGAGAGAGCGACCAAATAGGATGAGTGCCAGGGAAGCCTGTTAAACCTGTCCATGTGGCCGCTCTGTGTTGGCTACACAGATCAGATCAGATGAGGATTTCTGACCTGAGCTGAGGACACAGATAACAAGCTGAATGCTGTATGGGCCAGGAGAGAGCAAAACTGGAGCCGAGACTTAAGAAGGTTTACATTTTAGGCATGAAGCCCGTGCTCTTATCCTCTCATATCTGTTGCACAACAGTTGCAGCCACAGTGAAGAACATCCTCTCAGTCAGGACCCCGCTCTGATCTCACTGTTTCAGGTCACCGTTTAACACTAACATGTAATCGTGCTGATGTGTTTTAAAGCTGCTTTTGGTAATTTCACACATCAGAAGCTCAAAAAGCCTAAATATTTGACAACCTCTGAACTCTAATACCACGAAACCCTGCAACAGGATTAAACTGCAAACTGTGAGTACACTGGAGACCAGATGGTCAGCAAACATGAGGAAGTTACAAGTTTTTTTTATCATTTCTCTGCACAAACATATCCATACGACACCTCTGTTCTGTTTGAGTGGGCTGCAAAATGAATCAACATATTATCCAAAGTGCAATATGCAAATGGCAGAAGCAGCTAAAATGTATTATAACAAAGGACTGTAGTTCTGAAGAGCTTCACTGGCCTACAACATGTTTGTTTGATACCGACCCCCAGAAAATTCACACCATCATGATTTGAATCGTTTTTTCAGTGAAAATTTAATTTGTAAAGCAAAAGTTGTCATTCCCATAATGATGGAGTCGTATACATATCATACAGCCCAGTTTGAACCAGCAGCTGCATATTTCTCTGCTGCAGCATCAGTGTGTGTTAGAGGATGAGAAGGACGGGTTTTTTTTTTTTTCAGAAAAGTCTTCACCAGCCAATTGCGGCTTGATGAAACTGGGTCACTCCAACTTTCATGAGCTCATCGCCTGAATAAAAGGCTGCGCAAATATCAAAATCATTACCTGTTTATATCTCAGGGGTCTCTATTTGTAACAGTTATCATTTTGTCACATGAGGGCTCTAAGCTCATTATCCACGCAAATGTGGCATGACTTATTAGTTCATTTTTCTTACATCAGAGCAGC